CCCTTGCCGCACCCACGTGCCATTAGATTTCGCAGGTCAAATCGTCAAATCCCCACAAGTCCTATCTCATCTGCTTTAAGTGGTCACTATTTTTCCCTTGCCACACCCATGTGCCATTAGATTTCCCAAGTCAAATCGTCCAACCCCCACAAGTCCTATCGCATCTGCTTTGCAATGGTCGCTATTCAGCTTTTTCTCAGTTTACATCATTTTCCTGTTGTGTCTCCCGTTGTGTCTCTCCGTTTTGCCTCCCCGGGGCGGCGTTTGCAACTGCTCACCGTCCAGCCCATTCTGAGCAGTGAAGCTTTGGGGGCGAGCAGTTCCAAGCGCCTCCCCGGTGAGACACAACGGGTGCCATAGATTTCCCAAGTCAAATCGTCAAATCTCCACAAGTCCTATCTCATCTGCTTTTAGTGGTCCCTATATGTCGCTATTTTTCCCTTGCCACACCCATGTGCCATTAGATTTCCCAAGTCAAATCGTCAAACCCACACAAGTCCTATCTCATCTGCTTTGCCGTGGTCGCTATTCAGCTTTTTCTCATTTTACATCATTTTCCTGTTGTGTCTCCCGTTGTGCCTCTCCGTTGTGCCTCTCCGTTGTGTCTCCCTGGGGAGGCGTTTGCAACTGCTGACCGTCCAGCCCGTTCTGAGCAGTGAAGCTTTGGGGGCGAGCAGTTCCAAGCGCCTCCCCGGTGAGACACAACGGGTGCCATAGATTTCTCAAGTCAAATCGTCAAATCTCCACAAATCCTATCTCATCTGCTTTTAGTGGTCACTATTTTTCCCTTGCCACACCCATGTGCCATTAGATTTCCCAAGTCAAATCGTCCAACCCCCACAAGTCCTATTTCATCTGCTTTGCAATGGTCGCTATTCAGCTTTTTCTCAGTTTACATCATTTTCCTGTTGTGTCTCCCGTTGTGTCTCTCCGTTTTGCCTCCCCGGGGAGGCGTTTGCAACTGCTGAGCGTTCAGCCCATTCTGAGCAGTGAAGCTTTGGGGGCGGGCAGTTCCAAGCGCCTCCCCGGTGAGACACAACGGGTGCCATAGATTTCCCAAGTCAAATCAGTCAAATCGTCAAATCTCCACAAGTCCTATCTCATCTGCTTTCCCTTGCCACACCCATGTGCCATTAGATTTCCCAAGTCAAATCGTCAAACGGTCAAACACCCACAAGTCCTATCTCATCTGCTTTGCAGTGGTCGCTATTCAGCTTTTTCTCATTTTACATCATTTTCCTGTTGTGTCTCCCGTTGTGCCTCTGCGTTGTGTCTCCCCGGGGAGGCGTTTGCAACTGCTGACCGTCCAGACCGTTCTAAGCAATGAAGCTGTGGGGGTGAGCAGTTCCAAGCGCCTCCCCGGTGAGACACAACGGGTGCCATAGATTTCCCAAGTCAAATCGTCAAAACTCCACAAATCCTATCTCATCTGCTTTTAGTGGTCGCTATTTTTCCCTTGCCGCACCCATGCTCCATTAGATTTCCCAGTTCAAATCCCCACAAGTCCTATCTCATCTGCTTTTAGTGGTCGCTATTTTTCCCTTGCCGCACCCACGTGCCATTAGATTTCGCACGTCAAATCGTCAAATCCCCACAAGTCCTATCTCATCTGCTTTTAGTGGTCGCTATATGTCGCTATTTTTCCCTTGCCACACCCATGTGCCATTAGATTTCCCAAGTCAAATCGTCCAACCCCCACAAGTCCTATCTCATCTGCTTTGCAATGGTCGCTATTCAGCTTTTTCTCAGTTTACATCATTTTCCTGTTGTGTCTCCCGTTGTGTCTCTCTGTTTTGCCTCCCCGGGGTGGCGTTTGCAACTGCTCACCGTCCAGCCCATTCTGAGCAGTGAAGCTTTGGGGGCGAGCAGTTCCAAGCGCCTCCCCGGTGAGACACAACGGGTGCCATAGATTTCCCAAGTCAAATCGTCAAATCTCCACAAGTCCTATCTCATCTGCTTTCAGTGGTCGCTATTTTTCCCTTGCCACACCCATGTGCCATTAGATTTCCCAAGTCAAATCGTCAAATCTCCACAAGTCCTATCTCATCTGCTTTTAGTGGTCGCTATATGTCGCTATTTTTCCCTTGCCACACCCATGTGCCATTAGATTTCCCAAGTCAAATCGTCAAACCCCCACAAGTCCTATCTCATCTGCTTTGCAGTGGTCGCTATTCATCTTTTTCTCATTTTACATCATTTTCCTGTTGTGTCTCCCGTTGTGTCTCTCCGTTTTGCCTCCCCGGGGCGGCGTTTGCAACTGCTCACCGTCCACCCCATTCTGAGCAGTGAAGCTTTGGGGGCGAGCAGTTCCAAGCGCCTCCCCGGTGAGACACAACGGGTGCCATAGATTTCCCAAGTCAAATCGTCAAATCTCCACAAATCCTATCTCATCTGCTTTTAGTGGTCGCTATTTTTTCCCTTGCCGCGCCCATGCGCCATTAGATTTCCCAAGTCAAATCGTCCAACCCCCACAAGTCCTATCTCATCTGCTTTGCAGTGGTCGCTATTCAGCTTTTTCTCATTTTACATCATTTTCCTGTTGTGTCTCCCGTTGTGCCTCTCGGTTGTGTCTCCCCGGGGCGGCGTTTGCAACTGCTGACCGTCCAGCCCGTTCTGAGCAGTGAAGCTGTGGGGGCGAGCAGTTCCAAGCGTCTCCCCGGTCAGACACAACTGGTGCCATAGATTTCCCAAGTCAAATCGTCAAATCTCCACAAGTCCTATCTCATCTGCTTTTAGTGGTCGCTATATGTCGCTATTTTTCCCTTGCCACACCCATGTGCCATTTGATTTCCCAAGTCAAATCGTCAAACCCCCACAAGTCCTATCTCATCTGCTTTGCAGTGGTCGCTATTCAGCTTTTTCTCAGTTTACATCATTTTCCTGTTGTGTCTCCCGTTGTGTCTCTCCGTTTTGCCTCCCCGGGGCGGCGTTTGCAACTGCTCACCGTCCAGCCCATTCTGAGCAGTGAAGCTTTGGGGGCGAGCAGTTCCAAGCGCCTCCCCGGTGAGACACAACGGGTGCCATAGATTTCCCAAGTCAAATCGTCAAATCTCCACAAGTCCTATCTCATCTGCTTTTAGTGGTCCCTATATGTCGCTATTTTTCCCTTGCCACACCCATGTGCCATTAGATTTCCCAACTCAAATCGTCAAACCCACACAAGTCCTATCTCATCTGCTTTGCCGTGGTCGCTATTCAGCTTTTTCTCATTTTACATCATTTTCCTGTTGTGTCTCCTGTTGTGCCTCTGCGTTGTGTCTCCCCGGGGAGGCGTTTGCAACTGCTCACCGTCCAGCCCATTCTGAGCAGTGAAGCTGTGGGGGCGAGCAGTTCCAAGCGCCTCCCCGGTGAGACACAACTGGGGCCATAGATTTCCCAAGTCAAATCGTCAAATCTCCACAAATCCTATCTCATCTGCTTTTAGTGGTCGCTATTTTTTTCCCTGGCCGCGCCCATGTGCCATTAGATTTCCCAGGCAAAATCCCCACAAGTCCGATCTCATCTGCTTTTAGTGGTCGCTATTTTTCCCTTGCCGCACCCACGTGCCATTAGATTTCCCAGGTCAAATCGTCAAATCCCCACAAGTCCTATTTCATTTGCTTTTAGTGGTCGCTATTTTTCCCTTGCCGCACCCACGTGCCATTAGATTTCTCAGGTCGAATCGTCAAATCTCCAAAAGTCCTATATCTTATCTGCTTTTAGAGGTCGCTATTTTTCCCGTGCCGCGCCCATGTGCCATCAGATTTCCCAGGTCAAACCGTCAAATCTCCAAAAGTCCTATCTCAGCTGCTTTTAGTGGTAGCTATTTTTCCCTTGCCGCGCCCATGTGGCATCAGATTTCCCGGGTCAAATCGTCAAATCTCCAAAAGTCCTATATCTCATCTGCTTTTAGAGGTCGCTATTTTTCCCGTGCCGCGCCCATGTGCCATTAGATTTATCTGGTCAAATCGTCAAATCCCCACAAGTCCTATCTCATCTGCTTTTACACGGGGAAGGGCATCCTGGCTCCCACTCCCCATTCTTTTTTTTAACGGGAAGCTACCGGAGGCCATGTGGGAAACTGCGGAGGTGCACAGCGAGACCGGTTACAGGCAACAACAGGGAGACACGCGGCCCGCGAGCCGTGTCGCTTCCCGTTAGAGATAAAAACAGGGAGACACGTGGCCGTCCGTTCTCCGCGAGCCGTGTCGCTGCCCGTTATTAAAGCTAACAACACTAGAGAAACAACGAGAAAATGAAAAAAAAAATACGTTCAGTAGCTTTTTACCATATTGCCAAATGGCTCAGGATGAAACCCATGAGATGGGAATTCTTCATGGGATATAGATGCTACAGTCCCAACACATGGGTTATGTGAACATGCCCCAAATCAGCCCTAAGTCCTATCTCATGTGTCCAAACTGTAGCCTGTAGCATTAAAAAACAAACCGTGGGAATGTAAAAACTTGATGCAGGTATCCTTCAAATGACTACTAGAACCACATGAGATAGGAGTTTGGCACTTTCAAAGGGCAAAAACAATACTTTACTCATGAAATGGGAAATCAAAAAAACTGGACCCTCCGACAACTCCTATCTCATCCGTACCTAGTATATATATAATGTATATATATATATATGTATAGATATATACATTATATAATTATATATATATCATTGTATCCTCAAACAAGATTATAGCTGCTCTCCGCAACATCTGACGGGAGTTCAAAACGCAAGTGGCCGGAGATGCAAAAATCCTCGGACAAGGTTAGCTCCTCTCCTAGCTTTGCAAGCTGCAAAGCGATGCCACAATTCATGCGTTTGAACCAGTCCAAACTTTCTACTTGCAGCGACACGTGGTCTTTGCAGATGTTGAGCAGATGTAGTAGAGCCGTTCTTCACGCCCTTTTCTCTGTACAGAATCAGCGGCAGCTGCCAAACGCAGCGTTGCAAACATTGCGGACCAGCACGGACCAGCGCGGACCAGCGAAAAGATGGACCAGCGCAGGACCAGGCTCTCACTCAGAGTACAAGGCCCGAACGCCTCTGCCAATGGTCTGAAGTTGAATGTTGCTGGTGCCTTCGTAGATGGTTCCAATCTTGGCATCTCTGTAGTACTTCTCAGCCAAGAACCTATGGCGCGCTTTGGCGCGAAGGTTGAATCTCTTCATTGTTTGTGTTCATTTCGGGATTGACAAAAAACATTTATACACCAACTTTATCAATCTCAAGACATAGAGTATTGTATTCAATTGCAAGGAATGGAAGTGTTTCTGGAACTGTTTCGATGTCGAGTGTTGATTGCAAACTTGAGGGTATGAAGAAAAGGTAGGTTCAATGAGGTGAAGGTCGCTTGTTGCAAGTGTTGCAAGGCAGCATTGTAGATATTGTAGTTCAAAATGCGTACAACGACGACAACATGCAGCTAATTCTTGACATATCGGGAAAATAACGTGAAGAAAAGGGCACAGCACGTCTGACGAATTGGGTGTGAAAGGATGCAAAAGGTATATGGGTGAGCATCAGTCCTGATGGTCAGTCTCAAACAAAAAATGAACACGCCGCATTGCCCCAATAAGCGTAAAACAAACATGCCATTTGCAACATTCCATACACGCACCCCATGAGGACCAACACAAAAGAACGCGCGCATAAATGATTGCGAACTGCGAACGTATACAAAGAATACCTCGTCTGAACAGGGTATGAAGTTTATTCTGGTGTGCAAAAAATACCTCCGAAGAAGTGGTGCGTTGTGCTTATGCCAAAGGCTGCAAACTGTGCAGCCAAGAACCTGAAGGATTTTTCAACCCCAACAAGTTGCCTGCGACTTCTCTGTGGCCCAAAAACTCATTTCATTTTCTTGAAGCGGCTGAGTTGGGCAAGCTGCGTACAAGCGACGGCAGAAAAAGATAATTGAGGCGCGGAAGGTACAGCAAGGCATCCAATGTGAAAGTATGATCACAGCATGGTCTGGTCAATTTGTAATGTCGGATTAGAACACCACTTCCATCACCGTCCACAGGCGCAGCAGTTCAAACAGTAAAGCAAAGCATTGCAGCAACAGCCACCAGCGACATGAACCCCTCAAGCAACGTGACGACCAAGACAAGCACTGATTCTCACTCATTCCTTCATCCCTATCGCCCTGCAGACCTGCCTAAAGCGTCTACTAGAAAAGCATTGGGGAACACGGACCCAGGGGTAGTCAAAAGAGTAAGGGGAACTGAAGGGGGCACACGTGTTGAGTTTAGACCGCCCATCCCAATACCTTGGATCTGAAGTAGACATGGAACTCAAGTAGCCTTTGAGACCTTTCGTGTCTTGCCAAGCAGCTCTTTGGTGAAACCAACACCACCCAGCCAATCAATACATTGAGACGACACATCTTGCGCCACTTCGGAGGCCTGGCATCAGAACCACTGAACTTCTCTTTTTTACTTCTCTGAACTTGTCTCATTCTGCTCAATTCTCATGGCCGATGTCATGGCTCTGTTTTCTTCATATTTTTTCTTTTTCTCGGTGCTCACATGTGCTCACCATCTTTTCATCATCTTTCACTGCCGACTTGCCATTTTCGACAGGCCCTGAAAAAACATCTCGCCTTCAGCTTGGCCATGGCAGCCTCCAAGACGAAAGGCTTGCCGCTCTCCTTCAGCCGTGCAGCATTGAACCTGTGGCGATTCAGTGATCTGAAGATTCTGAAGCTGGGTCGAGTCTTGGAACTGTTTTCTGATCAGCAAAATCGAACAAAAAATCATCCATCGAAAAAACATGAAAAAACGCTGCCAACGCTGCCATGAAACACCAGCAATCTTGCAGCTTCAATCTCCATCCGGGCACGCGCATACTGAAACCTAACCCAGGAAAGTTTACGTGCCACGTGCGGGTCACAGTGATCCATAGTGCATGGCGTTTATTTCTCGACGCAAAACATCTTGCGTCTCAGATCACAAGAAATGACGAGACTCATTGCAGGCACGCTGCTGCATGCCCTGGAAGTCCGCGATGCTTTGGCCAAATTGTTTCCTTTGACACAAGGATCAACGTTTCAGAAACTGTTCAATAGATTTGCTGCAAAATGTTACAAGATGTTGCAACCCTTTCAGCATGTCAGGCCTTGTGACCATGTAGCGCATGGCATAGTCAAAGGCACCTTGTGCCAAACCAACCATCTGGGCACCAATCCCAATGCGACCTTCGTTCAGCAGCTCGATAGCAATCTTGTAGCCCTGGCCCACCTGCAGGGGTCATCCCCAAATTTGCCTTTCACCAATGATTCAGACACGTTGGATCAATTGCAACTTACTATGGTGAACACAATGAAGAATGACGAATGATGAAGTTAGCTGTCTCAAGACGGACATCTTCACCGTCTTCACCCCACACCTCACCGAGCACAGCCTCCTTTGGCACACGACAGCCTTCAAGGACCAGCTCACAGGTGGAGGACGCACGGATGCCCAACTTGTCTTCCTGAACAGGGAAAGGATAAAAAGAGATAAAAAGGGAGCAGGTAAAGAATGGGCAAAGAACTCGCACAAAAAGAAAAGCGAGAAGCATTGCAGAGTGGAAAGCTCTGCCAGCGATTCAAAACGAAAACGTGTGACAATCAAGTTCTTCCGATGACAATAGCTGGAGCCTTACACTGACGCAGCAGAACTCTGTCGGTTGAAATCACAAACGTTTCTGCTGGCCTTCTTGCCGATCTGCAGACCTTTGTTGTCCACGTCCACCACGAACGCTGTGATGCCTCACGCGAGCACAGAAAGGTTTTCCATCTAAATTGGTATTTAAAAGTCTTTCCGTGTTGACTACTTGCACATCTGCCACAAATCTTTGGTACATTCTGAGTCATTTCGATATGTTTTCCAAATTTTTCCGACATGTTTTCCCATGTTTCGGACACGCCTCGATGTCCCTTGCTGGGATCCGCATTGGCGAAGACTACGAAGACACCCGCCTCCATGCTGTTGGAGATCCAGCATTTGCCGCCATCGAGCACCCAGTCGCTGCCATCACGCACCTGGGGGAACCCTATCCGAATCCAACTGATGTCCGGTTCTCTGCTGCCGAGAGTACGTTTTCACCACGACTAAAACTAGGTTTCCAAACCACGACAAAACCCGGCTGCGAACCACGACAAGGACCAAAGATTTTAAGCACGATTGGCAAACACATCATCGACTGTCTGCGTAGCCAGCAATCACACTCTTAATGAACTGGTTTCATTGTGTTTTAATCAATGAAATGCTTCATTACCAAAAAAAACAAACAACACAAACTACTATGAGAATATATAATTACATATATATATATATATAAACCATACTATATATATATATTAAACAATCCAGAAGCCTTCTGCCAAAAATCCGGTAAAAATGCGTACACAATCCGGAAGCATCCGAAAGCCTCCTCCCCACAATCCGGTAAAAATCCGTAAAAAAATCCGGAAGCCTCCTCCCCACAATCCGGTAAAAATCCGTAAACAATCCAGAAGCAACCTCCCCACATGCACAAATCCGTAAACAATCCGGAAGCCTCCTCCCCAAAATCCGGTAAAAATCCGTAAACAATCCGGAAGCCTCCTCCCCAAAATCCGGTAAAAATCCGTAAGCAATTCGGACGCCTCCTCCGCACAATCGGGTAAAAATCCGTAAACAATCCGGAAGCCTCCTCCCCACAATCCGATAAAAATCCGTAAACAATCCAGAAGCCTCCTCCCCACAATCCGGTAAAAATCCGCAAGCAATCCGCAAGCCTCCTCCCCAAAATCCGGTAAAATTCCGTAAGCAATCCGGAAGCCTCCTCCCCAAAAACCGGTAAAAATCCGCAAACAATCCGGAAGCCTCCTCCCCAAAATCCGGTAAAAGTCCATAAGCAATCCGGAAGCTTCCTCCCCAAAATCCGGTAAAAATCCGTAAACAAACCGGAAGCCTCCTCCCCAAAATCCGGTAAAAACCCGTACACAATCCGGAAGCATCCGAAAGCCTCCTCCCCACAATCCGGTAAAAATCCGTAAACAATCCGGAAGCCTCGTCTCCACAATCCGGTAAAAATCCGTAAACAATGCGGAAGCCTCCTCCCCAACATCCGGGAAAAATCCGTAAACAATCCGGGAGCTTCCTCGTCAAAACCCGGTAAAAATCGTAACAATCCGGAAGCCTCCTCCCCAAAATCCGGTAAAGATCCGTGAACAATCCGGAAGCCTCCTCCCCACAGTCCGGTAAAAATCCGTAAACAATCCGGAAGCCTCCTCCCCAAAATCCGGTAAAATTACGTAAGCAATCCGGAAGCCTCCTCCCCAAAATCCGGTAAAAATCCGTAAACAAACCGGTAGCCTCCTCCCCAAAATCCGATACAAATCCGTATACAATCCGGAAGCCTCCTCCCCACAATTCGGTAAAAATCCGTAAGCAATCCGGAAGCCTCCTCCCCACAATCCGGTGAAAATCTGTAAACAATGCGGAAGCCTCCTCCCCAACATCCGGTAAATAACCGTAAACAATCCGGAAGCCTTCTTTCCAAAATCCGGTAAAAATCCGTAAACAATCCGGAAGCCTCCTCCCCAAAATCCGGTAAAGATCCGTGAACAATCCGGAAGCCTCCTCCCCACAGTCCGGTAAAAATCCGTAAACAATCCGGAAGCCTCCTCCCCAAAATCCGGTAAAAATCCGTAAACAATCCGGAAGCCTCCTCCCCAAAATCCGGTAAAAATACGTACACGATCCGGAAGCCACCTGCTCAACATCCGGTAACAATCCGTAAAAAAATCCGGAAGCGTCCTCCCCAAAATCCGGTAAAAATCCGTAAACAATCCGGAAGCCTCCTCCCCAAAATCCGGCAAAAATTCCGTAAGCAATCCGGAAGCCTCCTCCCCAAAATCCGGTAAAAATCCGTAAACAATCCGGAAGCCTCCTCCCCAAAATCCGGAAAAAATTCGTAAACAATCCGGAAGCCTCCTCCCCAAAATCCGGTGCAAGTCTGTACACAATCCGGCCGCCTCCTCCCCAAAATCCGGGAAAAATCCGTAAACAATTTGAAAGCCTCCTCCCCAAAATCCGGTACAAATTCGTAAAGAATCCGGAAGCCTAAACAATCCGGAAGCCTCCTCCCCAAAATCCGGTAAAAAATCGTAAACAATCCCGAAGCCTCCTCCCGAAAATCTAGAAAAAAACCGTAAACAATCCGGAAGCCTCCTTTCCAAAATCCGGTAAAAATCCGTAAGCAATCCGGAAGCATCTTCCCCAAAATCCGGTAAAAAACCGTAAACAATCCGTAAACCTCCTCCCCCACATCCACCAGAAATACGTACAAAATCCGTCAGCCACAAAGCAAAAAAGCCTTTGGAACTCCGTAAGCTGCTCTGGTAAGAATCCGTAAGAAATCCGTAGGCCAACGTCACCACTTCCCTTCGTCACCACCCAGAGTCATGGCTTCTTACTGTTTTGTTATGTCTTGTTATGTGATTTACCGCCCTTCATCAATGTCAAGTCTCACAATTCTATTTGGCCGTAACCCGGAAGTATTGCTTCCTAACTTCCTTCGACTAGATTTCAGTTTCGAACCATGGTTATGCATACCAATGTATAACACGAATTGTATCCCCAAGTATTCACCCAGGGCATCATGGAAGAATCTTGCTCTTTTTCAAGTTGCCATCATCCCCTAATAATATAATAATATAAAATAATATGATATAACATAATATAATATAATTTAATATAGAGGAGGTTTCCGGATTGTTTCCGCAATTTTACCGAATTTGGTGGAGCAGGCTTCCGGATTGTTTACGAATGATTTTGAGGAGGACGCTTCCGGATTGTTTGCGGATTTTTCCCGGATTGTGGGGAGGAGGCTTCCGGATTGTTTCCGCAATTTTACCGAATTTGGTGGAGCAGGCTTCCGGATTGCTTACGTATTTTTACCGGATTGTGGGGAGGAGGCTTCCGGATTTTTTACGGATTTTTACCGGATTGTGGGGAGGAGGCGTCCGGATTGTTTACGGATTTTTTCCGAATTTTGGGGAGGAGGCTTCCGGATTGCTTACGTATTTTTACCGGATTGTGGGGAGGAGACCCATCGGATTGTTTACGGATTTTTTCCGGATTTTGGGGGGCTTCCGGTTTGTTTACGGATTTTTTCCGGATTTTGGGGAGGAGGCTTCCGGATTGCTGACGGAATTTGACCGGACTTCCGGATTGTGTACGGATTTTAACCGGATTCTTGGCTGAGATAGCTTGGGCTACACTGGGCTGAGATAGCTTGGGCTACACTGGGCTGAGATAGCTTGGGCTACACTGGGCTGAGATAGCTTGGGCTACACTGGGCTGAGATAGCTTGGGCTACGGTGGTTGATTAGCTGGCGATTAGTGGCCAATTGGTTTGCTTATTGGGATTATGGCAATTTGGTGTTGCGATAGTGGCGATTAGTGGCAAAGTCTGAGACAAAATCATCAATTGAACCAGGTTATGGGTGGAGCACAGCTTCCGGATGTTTTACGGATTTTTACACCGGATTTTGGGAGGAGGCGTCCGATTTCTACTGATTTTTACCGTATTGTGGGGAGGAAAGGCCTTCCGGATTGCTTACGGATTTTTACCGGATTGTGGGGAGGAGGCTTCCGGATTTTTTACGGATTTTTTCCGGATTGTGGGGAGGAGCCTTCCGGATTGTTTACGGATTTTTTCCGGATTTTGGGGAGGAGGCTTCCGGATTGCTTACGGATTTTTACCGGATTGTGGGGAGGAGGCTTCCGGATTGCTTACGGATTTTTACCGGATTGTGGGGGGCTTCCGGATTGTTTACGGATGTTTTCCGGATTTTGGGGGGCTTCCGGATTGCTGACGGAATTTGACCGGACTTCCGGATTGCGTACGGATTTTGACCGGATTTTGAGGAGGACGCTTCCGGATTGTGTACGGATTTTGACCGGATTTTGAGGAGGACGCTTCCGGATTGTTTGCGGATTTTTCCCGGATTGTGGGGAGGAGGCTTCCGGATTGTTTCCGCAATTTTACCGAATTTGGTGGAGCAGGCTTCCGGATTGTTTCCGCAATTTTTTTTTTTTTTTTTTGTTTTTTTTTTTTTTGGGTTTTTTTTTTTTTTCTTTTGTTGAAGTTTTGTAGATTTGTTTTTTTTTTGGTGGGTTTTTTTCTAGGATGAGCCCACCTACATGGTGGGTCTTTTTTCTTATGTTTTTTTTTTACCGAATTTGGTGGAGCAGGCTTCCGGATTGTTTCCGCAATTTTACCGCATTTGGTGGAGCAGGCTTCCGGATTGTTTCCGCAATTTTACCGAATTTGGTGGAGCAGGCTTCCGGATTGCTTAGGAATTTTTACCGGATTTTGGGGAGGAGGCTTCCGGATTGCTTACGTATTTTTACCGGATTGTGGGGAGGAGGCTTCCGGATTTTTTACGGATTTTTACCGGATTGTGGGGAGGAGGCTTCCGGATTGTTTACGGATTTTTTCCGAATTTTGGGGAGGAGGCTTCCGGATTGCTTACGTATTTTTACCGGATTGTGGGGAGGAGACCCATCGGATTGTTTACGGATTTTTTCCGGATTTTGGGGGGCTTCCGGTTTGTTTACGGATTTTTTCCGGATTTTGGGGAGGAGGCTTCCGGATTGCTGACGGAATTTGACCGGACTTCCGGATTGTGTACGGATTTTAACCGGATTTTTGGCTGAGATAGCTTGGGCTACACTGGGCTGAGATAGCTTGGGCTACACTGGGCTGAGATAGCTTGGGCTACACTGGGCTGAGATAGCTTGGGCTACACTGGGCTGAGATAGCTTGGGCTACACTGGGCTGAGATAGCTTGGGCTACGGTGGTTTGATTAGTGGCGATTAGTGGCAAATTTGGTTTGATTAGTGGCGATTAGTGGCAAATTTGGTTTGATTAGTGGCGATTAGTGGCAAAGGTATGAACAAATCATCAATTGAACAAGGTATGGGTGGAGCAGGCTTCCAGATTGTTTACGGATTTTTACCGGATTTTGGGGAGGAGGCTTCCGGATTGCTTACGGATTTTTACCGTATTGTGGGGAGGAGGCTTCCGGATTGTTTACGGATGTTTTCCGGATTGTGGGGGGCTTCCGGATTGCTTTACGGAATTTGAGGACTTCCGGATTGCCGGATTTTGACCGGATTTTGAGGAGGACTTCCGGATTGTGTTACGGATTTTGACCGGATTTTGAGGAGGACGCTTCCGGATTGTTTACGGATTTTTCCCGGATTGTGGGGAGGAGGCTTCCGGATTGTTTCCGCAATTTTACCGAATTTGGTGGAGCAGGCTTCCGGATTGTTTCCGCAATTTTACCGCATTTGGTGGAGCAGGCTTCCGGATTGTTTCCGCAATTTTACCGAATTTGGTGGAGCAGGCTTCCGGATTGCTTAGGAATTTTTACCGGATTTTGGGGAGGAGGCTTCCGGATTGCTTACGTATTTTTACCGGATTGTGGGGAGGAGGCTTCCGGATTTTTTACGGATTTTTACCGGATTGTGGGGAGGAGGCTTCCGGATTGTTTACGGATTTTTTCCGAATTTTGGGGAGGAGGCTTCCGGATTGCTTACGTATTTTTACCGGATTGTGGGGAGGAGGCTTCCGGATTTTTTACGGATTTTTACCGGATTGTGGGGAGGAGGCTTCCGGATTGTTTACGGATTTTTTCCGGATTTTTGGGGGCTTCCGGTTTGTTTACGGATTTTTCCCGGATTTTGGGGAGGAGGCTTCCGGATTGCTGACGGAATTTGACCGGACTTCCGGATTGTGTACGGATTTTAACCGGATTTTGGGCTGAGATAGCTTGGGCTACACTGGGCTGAGATAGCTTGGGCTACACTGGGCTGAGATAGCTTGGGCTACACTGGGCTGAGATAGCTTGGGCTACACTGGGCTGAGATAGCTTGGGCTACACTGGGCTGAGATAGCTTGGGCTACACTGGGCTGAGATAGCTTGGGCTACACTGGGCTGAGATAGCTTGGGCTACACTGGGCTGAGATAGCTTGGGCTACGGTGGTTTGATTAGTGGCGATTAGTGGCAAATTTGGTTTGATTAGTGGCGATTAGTGGCAAAGGTATGAACTGGGCTACACTGGGCTGAGATAGCTTGGGCTACACTGGGCTGAGATAGCTTGGGCTACACTGGGCTGAGATAGCTTGGGCTACGGTGGTTTGATTAGTGGCGATTAGTGGCAAATTTGGTTTGATTAGTGGCAAAGGTATGAACAAATCATCAATTGAACAAGGTATGAACAAGGTATGCGCTACTCGTGCTACCCTCTCGTCGTGGTTTTTTATATCTTGTCGTGGTATAGATTCCACTGTCGTGGTATGACCCAACACCTCTCTGCTGCCTGTCGAAATCTCCCAAGTGAATTTCATGTTGCAATGTTCAGCCATACTTAGCACGTCCAGCCATACTTCAGTTATCTTCAGTTAATCTTCAACTCTGCAGTTTCGTCTACAATTTTCTATATGTCTTCTACTATCAGTTACATATCACTTACATGTATGTAATGTAATGTAATGCAATGCAATGTAATGCAATGCAATGCAATGCAATGTAATGTAATTAATGGAATGTAATGTAATGTAATGTAATGTATTGTACGTACGTACGTATGGATGGATGGGTGGATGGATGTATGTATGTCTGTCTGTATGTCTACGAAACTTTTCGTCTGCCGCATCTGCCCCGGCACTGCTTTGGTCTTCAAGGCGAAGGCATCGGAGCCGCTGTTGGGTTCAGAAAGGCAGAAGGATCCGACGGTATCTGCGACGCTCGTGTCGTTGCATCGACAGAGATATGTTGACAACAAGTTGACAATTGTTGACAATTGTTGACAACTGATGACATACTTCAGATACAACCACCATATGCACTTCATACCCAGTTCATGCAAATCTTGAAGTTGATCTGACTCTTCTGAAGGAAATTCGGACTCCCATACACTACGCGCCTGCTGCCAAGCGCGGCAGATACTGTTGCTGAAGCTCCTGACTGCCATATCGTTTGAAGGCCTTAGATTTAGACATTTGGACCAGACTTTGTTTCATCCTTTCCTGGAAAAAAACAACAACAACAACAACAGCAGCAACAACAACAACAACAACATCCACAACAACCACAACGATAACAACAACCACAACAACAACCACAACCACAACCACAACCACAACCACAACCACAACCACAACCAACAACAACAACAACAACAGCAACAACAACAACAACAACAACCACAACCACAACCACAACCACAACCACCCCAACAACAACAACAACAACAACAACAACAACAACAACAACAACAACAACAACAACAACAACAACAACAACAACAACAACAACAACAACCGCAGCAACAACAACAACAACAACAACAACAACAACAACCACAACAACAACAACAACAACCACAACAACAACAACAACAACAACCACGACAACCACAACAACAACAACAACAACAACAACAACTGCAAACATCACCAGATTGAAACCGCTGAAACTGTCAACACGACAAGTTGCCGTGACCAAAAGGGTGTTGTGAATGTCCTGGCGCAGTTCACACAAGAAATACTGGGATGCCACAGTTGTCATTGCATCCAGCACAGAATTTTGATTTTGAGAGCAATTTGACGCCTGAAAAAAGCAACCACGACCGGTTTCAGTCATGCCCTGTCCATGAGGGCTGAGACAGCTGGATCCACTTTGGCCACTTCTTCAATAGCCAAGCAGGCAGCAGTGAAATTCAATTCGACCCCGCCCATCTCAGCTGGAACCTGCAAAATGGCAGAATATGGCAGGAAAGGCAGCAGACAATAGCTTGCTGCAAGAATGTGTTGCCACATATGTTGAAGATTGGCATTTGATGTTCTCGAAAGCACTGGCCTCAATTCCCATAAGGCCTTGCTCAAACATGGCATCCACAATCTCTTTGGACATGACGCCCTTTTGGTCCATGGCCTCTGACAAGGACTTGGTGACTTAGTGACATGATTCACAGACATGTTGTGACATACCGCTGTGATCGTCAAGAATTACACGTGTTCTCTGTTGAAACGAAGCTACTGCAAAATATCGCAGCCTTCGTTTCTCCCAGAAACTCCACATAATTTCCAGCATGTCACCCATGGATGTATACTCTATGCCATACATATATTGATATATTGTGATTAGACATATACATATATATATATATGTAATATATGTACATATACATATGTGTGCGTGAGATATGCATGTAGCAGTCCACATGGCACGCATCTGCCACAGCCATGGCCTGGACATGTGGCGCCAGGATCTCCTTGGCGAAGCGCTCAGCTGAGTCGCGCAGCATCTCCTCGTCCTCCGACAGCACGGAGAGAGGATGGCCCACCTGGGACCGACGGAAAGCACCCGGAAGGACACACAAAACTTGAGTTATAAAATTGGATACAAAAAATTGATCAAAATTTGATGACTTCAAAAGTTGTCGTGCAAATCTCGCAGGACCGTGTGGTCAGAAGGCCAAGTGACTCCAGCACAGCATCGGCGCTGAGCATGCACTGCAGCACACCTTCAAGGACCCAAATATGTATACTATACATGTTTTTATAGCAATGTTCAACTCTACATATATATATATATGAAGAAATACATATGTATATATATACAAATGCACAAACATATACACATATACACATATATACATATATACATACATACATACATACATACATACATACATACATACATACATACATACATACATACCTACATACATACATACATACATGCATACATGCATGCATGCATGCATGCATGCATACATACATACATACATACATACATGCATGCATGCATGCATGCATACACACATACATACATACATACATACATATAGACACATACTTACATTACATTGCATTACATTATATTACACTACATTGCATTACATTACATGACATTACATTACTTTACATACATTGCCATACATTGCATTACCATACATTACCATACATTACCATACATTACCATACATTACCATACATTACCATACATACATATATACATACATACATACATACATACATGAGTACATGCATGCATACATGCATACATACATACATTGCATACATTACATTACATTACATTCCAATACAATACATTACATTACATGCATACATACATTACATACATACATACATTACATTACATTACATTACACTACATTGCATTACATTACATTACATTACTTTACATACATTACCATACATTAAATTCCATTACCATATATTACCATACATTACCATACATACATACATTACATTACATTAAAATACATTGCATTACATTACATTACATGACATTACATTACATGACATTACATTACATTAGCATACATACATACATACATACAGGCAGACATACATACATACATACATTATATACATCCATACATGCATACATGCATACATACATACATACAAACGTACACACGTACACACGTACAGACATACATACATACATACATGCATACCATACCATACATACCATACATACCATACATACCATGCCATACCATACCATACCATACATACCATACATACCATACATACCATACATACCATACATACCATACATACCATACATATTTCACATATATACCATACATACCATACATACCATACATACCATACATACCATCCATACCATCCATACCATGCATACCATACATACCATACATACCATACATACCATACATACCATACATACTATACATACCATACATACATACATTACATTACATTACATTACCATACACTACCATACATTACATTACATTACATTACATTACGTTGCATTACATTGCATTGCATTGCATTACATTACCATACATTACCATACATACATGCATACATCCATCCATCCATCCATGCATACATACATACCATACATACCATACATACCATACATACCATACATACCATACATACCATACATACCATACATACCATACATACCATACATACCATACATACCATACATACCATACATACCATACATACCATACATACCATACATACCATACATACCATACATACCATACATACCATACATACCATACATACCATACATACCATACATACCATACATACCATACATACCATACATACCATACATACATACCTACATACCTACCTACCTACCTATCTACCTACATACATACATACATACATATATTCATAGTTTCACATATACATACATATACAGATATCCATACATACATATACATATATACATGCATACACATGAGAAACCATCAAAAACATCCAAAAGGACCAAATTGATCCAAGGGCAAAGTCAGCTCCGACGCCTGTAACCCTTCCCAGCCTTCCGGGCCTCAGGCCTGCACGACCTGCAGTGGTGCATCAGCTGACCACTTCGACGTTTTACATCTCGTTTTATTTATATGTATATCCGCCGACTCCAGGGAACCACGGGGAGCGCTCACGAGAAGAAATGCCAAAGGGAGAGTTTCAACCCAGGGGAAAAAATGAGGAAAGGCACAAGCACACTTTCTTACATTACAGACCGAAACTATTTGCAGGCAGCCAGGGCACGATAAGCCAAAAAGAGGCAAAACGCGATGGGCAAGACAGAGCGAGAAGAAGCCAGAGGCAATCCGAAAAGCGATTAAAATCGAGACGGTGCAAGTAAAATGGCGATCGAAAGGAAGAAAAATGCCGATCGAGACGAAGACATGAAAATGGAGACGAAGAAAGAGAAAGAACATGTGGCAAAGGGTGTGTTTTGGATGCTTGGGAGCTGGTGTTTGGAGGTAGTTTCTGAGCTCAACTGGCGATCAAGACGAAGACATAGAAAACGGAGACGAAGAAAGAAAAAGAACGTGTGGCGAAGAGTGTGGTTTTGGAGCGAGACGGAGCAATTAAGATGGCGATCGAAACGAAGAACAATGGCGATCGAAAGAAGAAATGCAAATGGAGACGAAGAAAGAGAAAGAACACGTGGTGAAGGGTGTGTTTTGGATGCTTGGGAGCCGGTTCTTGGAGCTAGTGTCTTGGCTAAATTGGCGATCAAGACGAAGACATGAAAGTGGGCGAAAAAAGAGGAAAAACACGTGGCGAAGAGTAGGTTTTTGGAGGTTTGGGAGCTGCTTTTTGGAGCTAGCTTCTTAGCGGTTCAGAAAGCAACGTTAGGCACCAGCAGCGGCTGGCCGAGGGCACGATCCCTCCTTCAGCAGCATGCTGCTTCGGTGTGGCGAAGGGTGTCTTTTGGAGGCTTGGGAGCTGCGCTGCAGAAGCAGAAGATTTTGAACAGCAGCGCTGCATCTGCAGCCTGGCAGCGGCATTTAAAGCTAATTTCTTCTCCGTGCAGAAAGCGACGTTTGGCACTGGAGCCTCCCAGCGGAGCACCTGCTCCGTCCTTCAGGGGCAAGGCTCTGCAAGGCAAGCGTTGCGTCACTTTCAAAATGCTGATGCATCTAGAACTTGGCAGATGCATTTAAGCCAATTTCTTCTTCGTTCGAAAAGCGACGTTAGGCCGTTAGGCACTGTTGAACCTGACCTGGCTTTGCACCAAAGCCTCCCAGACCTTCACCGGAACCTTCTCCGGAACCTTCTCCGGAACCCTGTTGAACCTCACTTGGCTTTACACCAAGGCTTCCTGGAACCTTCTCCGGAACCTGACCTGGCTCTGCACCAAAGCCTCCCAGACCTTCTCCGGAACCTTCTCCGGAACCCTGTTGAACCTGACCTGTCTCTGCACCAAAGCCTCCCAGACATTCTCCGGAACCTCGTTGAACCTGACCCGGCGCCAAGGGCCCACAAAAATGCGAAAATAAGATTTGTTGCAAGGACAACAACAACAACAACAACAACCACGACGACGACGACGACGAAGAAGAAGAAGAAGAAGGAAAAAAAAACAACAAAAAAAAAGGAAGAATCACAAAAATGCAACAAAAAGATGTGTTGCAAGCTGCAGTATGAAAAGCACATCAAACTGTGCTCTGCACCTGCGCGCATGCCCCGAGAACATGAACAACACCAACGCTCACACTACTATACATAACCCTTATGGCTTCGCCGGTGTGCGAAGCTCTACAATATATATATATGTATATATATATACATTATATATATGCAAAAGCAACTGGCGCAGAGACACCTGTTTTGCGCGATGCGCGGCTTGAGCCACGGTATGTGGCGGTCATGATACATCCGGGACTGTGCTGGATGCATGCTGTACTGTCATGTGTTGACATCAGATTTCACACCCATGGTCTTTTTCAGGCCCAGGATGTATCGCTACTTTGTTTCTCTGCCGTGCCATTGCCTTCTTGCTGTTTTCCTTGTTCATGTCAAAGGCTAAGGTGCCTTTTTGTTGCAGAGCTTCCATCTGGTCGCATCTCATCTTCTTGGTAAGGCAGTCGGCAACCATTGTTTTGGTTTCCACCCATATGGCGCGGGTGGAGGCATCTTTTGGTACATGGTCTCCATAGAGTGGGTCGCCATTCTCTTCACCAGGTTGGCGCCATAGAACTTGGCGCAGGTAGCTAAGGTCAATGGCCAACCTCTTGTCACCTGTGGTTCCTGTTCCAGCTTGGTGCAAATGGGCTTCCAAGCTTCTACAGTCAGTGAACTGGTAGAGGTTGATGGAGTCCATGGCTGGAATCTTCCAGTCGTGCCCTTGGTGGTCATGTCGTAGACCGTGCAGCACGCTCCTCAGGTGTTCAGCTTCTTCGTAGCACTGAACCATAGAGAGCGTCTCAGACTGCAAGGTGCTTCGGCAAACACGCCGGATCACATTGGAGTGGTACTCGATGGGGTGCACCACGCCAGATCCATTCTTCACAAAGTCAGGTCCAGCCAAGCAAATCAGGCGGCCAGACTGTGATCGATGTCCAAGGGTCTTACCAGACTTCGATTCTTCCGCATCAGCTGCATGAGAGGCATCGGAGATGCTCAAAATCACCGCGTGGTCAAAGTCAAAAGCGTCGTACTTGTAGAACAGTCCAATTTCAGGCGTGGCCTGAACATGTCGCATCAGGCTGTTGCAGTCTATGAGGTCCTGCACCATCGCCTTCTTCTGAACTGTCTGAAGGGCAGAGAGTTGATAGGCGATGTCAGGCCTGCAAACTCGTGCTACCCAATTCAAGCTTCCCAGAATGCTTCTCAGTTGGTTGATCTCTGCATCAGTCGCTGGAGCATCTCGGTGTTTCTTCCGAGACATAGTCAAAGGAATAGGTCGGAGCTTCGCTGCTGTGTTGGGACAAGTGACTGCGATCCCGTCAGCACGCTGTGCAATCTGACGGCCGCACCAGGTGAAATCATCACCATCATCCAAGCTCCCAAAACGCAGCTTGTCTTGCATGTTCTTCATCACCTGTTGCATGGAGTCGTCTCCACACCATAGCAAATCATCCACATGAGCAACCATGATTCCGGAAATACCTCCGGAGGAGTTGCGAAGCACGTAGGCTGCTTCTTCATGAGGAACAGCATTCAGCCCTTCTTCGCAAGCAGTCTTGTGAAGCTTCTTCCAAAAACCTCTTGGAGCATCTCGGGTGCCATAAACTGGTTTGTGGGCAATCATCAAACTGCCCTCTTCAACGCCTTCAATTCCATCTTTTGGAGGTGATAGGACCAAGGTCCTCGTGATGTTCTCGCCCTGGAGGAAGGCAGCTGTGATGTCGCCTCCCCGCAAACGCCATCGCTTCGAAGCAGAAACGCTCAGCACCAGGGAGAACATGGGTTGACTGCATGTCGGACTGTCAGTCCTTGCATTTCCTTCAGCTTCCAAATCTCCTCTCACCACAAGTCTTGCCTTGTGGCGGTCAGGTTCCCAAGGTTGGGACTTCAGGGTGTCGACCCAACGTGTAGGGATGACTTCAGCATCAGGATGGGTCAAGAGGTACTTGGCAGCCTCAGTGGGTGACAAAACTGTCACGGCCTTGAAGTTGTTCCAGTTTGCCCATTCACGGCTTCTGGCTTCTAACATCTTGGCTTGTCGTGCATCATCTGATTTGTTGTAGTTGAGCTCCTTGGCACGAGCTGTCGCAGACTTCTTGGTTGTTCTGCGTGCTAGAAAACCAACAAAGGCTCGTGCTTCTGGTCCATCAGATGGAGCAGCAGGTTCATATCTGGGATCACGAGGTGGTGGTGATCGTGATCGTTCACGTCGTGGTGCTCGTAGAGGAATGCCATCCACTGCATCAAGGGAGCGATGCAGGGCTTGATTCAAAGGTGTAGATGCTGGGTTTCCCAGCGGTGTGTCCACACGTGTCGGTGGGACAACTTCCAACTCTGGCTCGTCAGTGGAACTGAAGATCTCAGTCGCTTGGTCTGATCCAAGCATCAAGCCAGGTGGCACAGGGATGTCGTCCATGGCATCATGGTCATTGTCCAATTCTTCAGGGATTGGAACATCCACATGTAGGTCACGTCCATCCATGAGAGCAGACTGTGCGGGCTCTTGTGGTAGGACAGGAGTCTCAGGTTCAGCAGGTGGTGCTGCTGATTCTTCAGGTGCATGGGCTCCCAAGTCAAAGAAGGGAATCTGTTCGACATCTTCAGCATTGTCGATTCCAGGAGCGCCAATCAAGTCATCGGCAAAGGGGTAGTCCATCTCATCTCCGTCAGGGTCTAGGACTTCACGCCGACGTTTGCGCGATGGGCGCAGCTCCAGTGCATGCTTGGCCAAAACTTCGTTGCCTGTGGCATGCCTGAGAGATTCAATCCCAACAGTCATTGGAACACCGCCATGGATGATCCAAAGTGTTGAGCGTCCTTCTTGTCCAAGAACTCTTGCAGGACCATACCATCGTCCATGACTTGATCTGCCCTTGCGGTAAAAACAAACCAAATCACCAGCCAGGAAGGGTCCACGTGTTGGTGTGGTCTTCCGCAACATAGAGGCTCGCAATCTCTGAGAGGCATCAACAAAGGAAAAGGCTTCTTTTGCAGCTTGTCGCAGTTGCATCTGTCTGGCAAAGGCAGTCTCGCCATCGAGCACTTCTTGGTGTGTGCCCAGGAGACGTTGTGAGTCCTCTGAGGTCAGAGAGTCAACTTCAAGTGGAAGTTTGCCCAAAGTCCATTGGCTCGGTGTGAAGCCACCATGGTGAATGCGGTTGTTCTTGATGAAGACAGCCTCAGGAAGCAAAAGCTCAAAAGCTCGAAGTCCAGTCAGTTGTCTTGCTTCCACAACATGTTGTAAAAGATGTTTGAGGATGCCTCCTTGTCGCTCACCTCGCCCAAGTTGGTGATGAGCTTCAACGCCAATGAAACGCATCTGCACACCGTGGTAGGTCAACAGCTCGGCAAAGCGGCCACGGTTGTGCAATCCACGGTCGACTATAATTGACTTTGGAGGACCAGCCCAGTTCAGCCAGACTCGCCGAAAAGCATCGGCACAGGCTCTTGATGAAGGAGCGCCACCCTTGTCAGAGACAATCTCAGCAACATGGTAAAGAGTCCCCATGTCAACTATTGAAAGGATGGTGAAGCGGTTGCCATCCACGTCTCTGATCTCAAAGCAGTCCACCGCAATCTCCACATTGAAGCGGTAGTCGCTCGGTGGACGTGTAGCTGGTCGCGGAGCAGGCTTTTTGCGTTCTTCACATGCTGGGCAACGAAAGTGCTTCAAGGCCTTGATGACCTTTGGGTCTCCACCAGACGTTCGTAGAATCCGTTGCATAGAAGACACTGAAGAATGCCCAGTCATAGTGTGCAACCTTCTCACAGCCACACGGGTGGACATAGGCAGCTGTCGCCAAACAGATCGGCTTTCTTGTAGTTGTTGGCTTTCAAGAGCTTCTGCTTGAGGGTTTGCAATCTCAAGCTGTTCAGGCGATTCTTCTCGTGGCAGAAGTCCAATGGCCATATCTTCAGGAGTCTCGATGAGGTCAAGAGTGGGGAAGGGCGTTGGAGCGTCGTCATTCACAAGAATGTCTTCCTCCACAGCCTCAGCAGGAAAAGCAGATCTCGTCAGGTGATTGTCGAGATCGTTCAAGTGACACTCAATGATGTGAGTGCAAAACTCCTCAGTCCATGCTTGTGCATGCTTGCATCTCTTCCCACCTTCCAAAGGCTCGTGAAGATGGTCTTTGCTGCATTGGCCAGCCTCTTTTGCAAAACTCTTGAAGGTTGAAGAAGCGGTCACCAGGCCAGTGCGCTTCTTGTGCAAGAGGCCAGAGGTCTTGTCGCGGAGGTTGAAGGCACAAAGATCCACATTGATCTTCTCAAGGGCTTCTCCAGTGATCTGGTCGTAGTGCTCTTCCTGATTCAAGAGCTTGTCCATGTCATTGGTGTCCCAAATCGCTGAAGGAGCTGGATTCTCAATGAAAACTTGTCGCCCTCTTTGAAGTCGTGATCGTGCATGACCACACATCCACTTGATGACAGGGATCCATTTCTTGCGGTCTTCCATGATCTTGAGTCGGGTATCTTCTGACCTGGTCATGTTCATGTTCTGCCATGGGGACCAGGGGCCACAAACTGGCGCAAAGGTCAGAAGATATGGATCATCTCGTGCAATGCGCTCATCAGCCGCAGCACGTCCAGCAGGAGTTGTGAGGTCAAAGATTGGGTCATAGATCACGTCGATGGGCTCGCTGGTTGGGTACCCATAGGAATAGTGCGCGACGCTGGTCAGCATCGCACATCCTGCAAAAATCTCCATGAGGAAGGTCTTGCAGCCATGTGGAAGGCAAGGACGCCTTCGCAGGTACTTGGGGCAAACTTGATTCCACATCAGCTTGTCCTTCTTTGTCACCGCATCCACATTGGCCTTGGTCTTGCTGGCTTGCCCTTTGGACATGGCATGCACCTTGAGTTCGTCATAGGCCAGGTATCCCAAAACATTTTCCTCAGCAGCAGGGTCTGCGCCACAAGCGTGATCATCCACATCGGCAGGGTCTGCACACAAGGTGTGATCATCCGCCATCGTGGGATCTGCACCTGTGGGGTGATCATCTGCCGCCTCGTCCTGAAAATCCAGAGGACGGTCTGCTGATGGGTTGCAAAGTCCAAGTCCAGCAAACCCACCAGGGAGGAGGCGAAGTCCATAAAGTCCATTGTGGGATACCAGTTGCAAATCTCCACCAAGTGCCTCGCTGTGAGCCATGGCACGGTTGAGGTCCAGCACAAGTCCAAGCCGACGCTGAGCCTCAAGTGAGAGCAAAAGAGGGGCGTCAGAACCTTCAAGTTCGACGCTGTGGAGAGTGCCCTTGGCCAAGGTGCCGTCAGTGAGCTCCAGGCATAGATCCAGAACTCGTGAGCCAGCAGTGGCGGTGATGCCACCAATGCCACGAAAACCACCAGCGCCATCAGGTAGAAGTTGAGGTTCATCTTGGTTGGTGGCCTTAAGGTAGCGCTTAAGCCAATGTGCACCATGACAAGTCGTGCTGCACCCAGTGTCCAGCACGGCAATGAGGTCGCCCTCGGAGCCATCAGAAATGTGCTCAGAGGTTGCCATGTAGCCAGTCCTTGTAGAGGTCGTAGAAGAGGGAGTTGTTGCGTGGTACATGGAGCGCTCACCAACCGTGAAGATCTTGCCATGGATGCCTTCGTGCTCGCTGATCTCCAGGAAGAGGTTCTTCAAGGATCGCATCTCTCTTGACGACTTGTCGTCAATCGTCTCCAGCACCCACTTGCGGTAGTTGCAGTCCTCATAGGCTTGGTAGCATGGGTTGTTCTTGTACTTCCCAGCGCCAACATGCAAAACCGCACGTTCCCGCAGCACACGGCGATTGCCTTGGTGAGTGACAGGATCAGCCCGTGCAGGTGCATAGATTGGAGTTCGCACTGAAGATGGTGGTTGCGATGCGTCTGAACCTTGTGAGGGCGGTTCACCATGCCAAACCTCAGCTAACCTCAAAGAAAGGGCCAAGGCTTCGATCAATGTCCTGGAGTTGATGGTGTCTCCAGGTCCAAGTTGCATCAGCTTCATCTCAACAGCGTTCTCGAAGGATCGCACTGCACCAGCGGCTTCTTCAGCAGTGAGTTCACCTCCAAGAAAATCAGCCAGGTTTGAAGTCCTTGACTGTGGCGTCTGAAAGGAGTCCACAGGGCTCGCTTGTGCATCTGGGCTCACAGGTCCAGATTGCTTGAAGCCACAATCAAGGCATGTCTTTTGCCATGTGTGCCCATTTGTTCCACACCATGACACACGGTGATGGTAACATCCAGGTGCTTGGCGTTCTTCCACAGCTGTTGTAGGACCCCTAGAGGCAGGCTGCCCCTTGGGTAGGCTGACTTGAGGAATGCGCTCTCGCTCCAGCAGGAGCTGGCAGTCCAAACATCGCAAGATTCTGTAAAACTTGTTAGTTCCCCTTGCTGTCACGCGTTCATGCTGGCAAACTGTTTGTTGATAGTTTGCTGGCTGAGGACTGAACGGGCCTTCTGCATCTCGTCCATCAGAACCTGCAGCAGGAACTTGTCGAGGCGTAGAGGAGGAAGGCGCCTGCTCAGGACGCATTGCATGCTCAGCTTGTTGGGCTCGTACAGGTAGTGGTGGAACTCCTGCAGGTAGAGCTCCACGTAGATCTTCGATCATTCCAGGTCCATCAACATCGATAGGGAGACTTGGCTGAGACAAACGTCCAAGAGCTTGCTGCAACATCATCTCTTCCTTCTCGTCATTGGTCAGTGGCCTCTGTGGAAACATAGATGGCATCTCATGTACTCGGCCACGCATTTCTCCACGTCCAACTTCTCCATGAGGTAGGTCAACCCATTGTGGTCGATTCTCAGCTGGCACCAGTGCGTCATGTGCTGGTACCAAAGCATCATGAGGAACATGTTCATGAGGAGGTCCATGTAGAGCATGTTCATGAGGAGGAGGACCATGTAGAGCATGTTCATGAGGAGAGCCATGTGGAGCTTGTTCATGTTGTCCAGTCAAAGACGAAGGTGGAGGCACAGCATGAAAACCTTCACCACGTAGCGCCATGTAGCCATGTGATCCACCTGCATAGGAGGGCTCATGCACAGCAAAGTACACAGTGCGCGGCTTTGCTGGTGATCCCTTTGATGCCGTAGTGCTCGCCTGTGACGAAGTGCTTGTTGAGCCAGGTCGATACTTCCCTTTGCGACCACCTCCTTTGGAGCCAGGGCATTGGCTGTCACCACTCCAGTGTCCGACAGCTCCACATTTTCTGCATGTAGTTCGTGACTTCAAGGAGGCGATCTTGGCCTTGCGCTCTTCCAAGCTAAGACTTCCAGAAACCGAGAAGTGCTTGGAGCCAGAAGGTGGAACACGAAATCCCTTGCCCTTCTGCGCAGCACCCTTCTTCACGAAGTAGGCTTCTTGCTCAGCTTGAAGCACTTCAGCAGCGGCTTCAGCACTTTCAGGATCATCGAAATCCACTCCATCATCCACCATGAATCCGATGTGCTCCTCAATGGGGTCGATCTCGTCAGACACATAGGGCTCTTCAGGCTCGTAGGTCTCTTCAGAGAAGTCTTCAGAGTAGGCCTGGTCGTACTCCGCAGTCTCGTCAGCATAGTAAGCACCATGCCACTTGCCAGATCCCTTGCGGTTCTGCTGGTAGCCATAGTAGGGCTTCTTGGAGACAAAGTTGCGCGTCTTCTCGCGCTCGTGCAGCCTGGAGTGTTGAGCCACCAGTTCATCGGCAACACGGTTGAAGGTGATGTCCCCTTGCAGAGCCGTTCTGACAAGTAGTTGATGGTCAGCCGAAATGTTGGCTGAAGACAGCAGTTGTTCCGCCAGCACAATGTCAGGCAGCTTCATGTCCTCAGACGTGTCCACCAGGCATCGATACCAAGTGCGTCGCCTGAGGATGTAGGAGGCCATCGTCTCTCCATTCTGCCTGGACAAAATGCCATGAGGTGCCGAGCCAGCCGCATAAAGCTCTCGAGCTTGCTGTGCACGGCGAGGCTTCAATTCCTTCTCAAAGGCTCCCAGAAGCTTTTCCACTCCAGCTTCTGGCTTGCTAAGTTCATTGAAGTCTATTGTTTGAGCCACACGCAAGGCTGTGCCACTGAGGCCCTCAACAAGCCTCAAGGCGAGAGGACCAAGCTTCTTCTGCTCATCTTCGGACAGGGCTTTCTCCTTGAGCTGCTTGGCCTTCACCCTGAACACATACTCAGCCAATCGTGTTGGCTCACCATTAAAGCGTGGAATCCCCGCTTTTCCTTCTGTTCCCATCTGCGCTGACTCGTCCTCCGCTATGAAGTTCGGCCAGCGTAGAGCATCTAGAAGCGCCGACATGGCAGCGCTAGGAGTTGCGCAGGTAGCGCACCGGACAGCCCGTTTGGGCCCTTTGGAGCCGTTGCCAGCTCCGCTGCCAGTGCAAAAGCGACTGGCGCAGAGACACCTGTTTTGCGCGATGCGCGGCTTGAGCCACGGTATGTGGCGGTCATGATACATCCGGGACTGTGCTGGATGCATGCTGTACTGTCATGTGTTGACATCAGATTTCACAATATATATACGTTCATTTACTCATTGTGATATATGGTGTGTATATATATATACAGTACGTATATGTAATTAGTAATTATATGTTATATGATCTATCACTGTACTGATGAATATTGTATACTGTATACAGGCGACTTTTGATACTTTTGGGTTCGCATGGTCCAAGGCCTGGCAAATGACGCAGCGCTGTCAGCGAACGCATCATGGAGCGAAAGGCTCAAGCTGCGTAGGAAACCAATGCGATGCGCCCAAGTAGCAGATGCTCCGGCATTATCAACTTTCATCAACTTGCCATTTCAATCTAAAATGTCCTGACTAGACTTGAAGCAGCTACTGATGCAGGTCTGAGACACTTAATCCATTCACATCTGAAAACAGGGGGTGACTTCAACATTACTTAAGCTGAAGCCGAAAGTAGCGTAGGCAAGTAGGAACTGCATGACATAGGCTGCAGTCGTATGTTTCCGACAAAGACATGGATCAAAAACTCAGGCTTTGCTTCAATGTGGATGGATCACGGCTTCTGTGGACAAAGATCTGAGGGTTCGTCATCCAATGCAAACACCACAATGTTTGGAATAGCGAGTCTCCTCCAATTGGTAAAGCTCAAGCGAATGGACACAAAGCAAGTCTCAGACTTTGTCAAAATATGTCACAAAACTATCGCTCTAACAGTTCCAACGTTTCCAAATTCGTCAAACTTGGCACAGTTTGGGACTACATAGCACAGAAACTGTCCTGACACGCTTGGTGAAGGGCTCGATGTACCTGCTTCAAATGGCATCAAAAATCATCAAAATACACATCACATGACACGTCATGACACGTCATGACAGGCGTTGGCAACATCTCTGCCTGGCCATCTTTCCGAAGACCATGGTCACGAAGACTGGCACCTAAGAAAATCTAAGAAACAAATCCAGATCCACACAGATTCACAAATCTCGCACAACAGAACTGTAAAAATCTGAAAAAATGTAACAGAACTCGAACATACTCGAACAACTCTGACATCTGACACATCCAGCTTCTGCGTCGCAGCCACTTAGTCACTTGGCGCCGTCAAGATCGAGCTGAGATTCCCACCGCGCGATCCAAATTTGATGCAACTTCAGAGGCTTGTGAAAGCACCTGCTGGGTCACAAATGGTCACAACTGCCAATCTCACTAGCAGCATCCGCCCTGTAAAACACCGATGCCAAAAACATGAGAAACTTTGCCTAGTCAAGTCCTAGAGCAGCACAACTGTAACGGAGGCAACGAAAGTCATCCTTTTTGGATGAAAAGTTAAAAGAAAGGCCGCGGGATCTGCTCGAAGCCACTTCGTGCCAAAGGCTCGGCTTGGACAGTTCGAGTCTGTTCAAGTCTTAAACCATCGGCCTCCCCTCCCTGCATGCAAGCGATCCAATCGAGTCCCCCAGCATGCACATTAGCGCATCGACATGCTGTCATCCTCCCGAAGTCAAGGAGTGTTGGCCAAAAGGGACAGCGTGTACAATCGCACTGGCTAGCCCACTAGCTAATACCGCTTGTGAGACCAGTGTGCGTTGCAGCACCCCTTGCAATGCGCCCCACACCCGGCCAACGGTGTGTCGAAGTGCTGATTGCCTGAAGTACTATCGAAGTGTCGCTGAGCCAGGCTGGTCACTCCCACCTGAAACTTTCCACTTTGTCCGTGTCGACTTTGGACGTCCGGCATGGGAAAGAGAGGCACCTCTCCATCCCTGGCACTTGGGAGGTTGGGGGGTCACAAAGAAGACTTTTCACATTTCTTCGATTTTTTTAGTGTATCTTAGTGTGTTCTGTATCTTAGCGTATCAAAAATGTCGGAAATGTCAGAAATCGTCAGAATGTGAAAAAGTGAACTCAGTGAACTGACAAACTTCGTCTTGCGCCAGGGGACGTGCAGTTTGTCACCCTGTCATCGGCAGGGCTGCAAACACAGGGAATGCCCCTGAAAGCTCCTGAGCACAGGGAACATTGAGGGAACATTGAGGGAACATCGTCTGGCTCATACAGAGGTCGCATTGTCATTAATGAATATTGATGACTCATGAATGACATTAATGTGAAGCAGTGTTAAGCTTATTTGAAACATTTTGAAACAATGTCACTGATTTCCAGTCCGGCCCAACGTTTCAGGACTATCAATAAAACGTGTCAGGAGATTTGAAAGTCGTGCCCAAGGCACGTGTCAAATCGGTGTCCTATGAATAGATCTCACATGATCTCACCATAGCTGCATCAACTTGATTTCGTCAGAACCTCCAATTTTGGGATTTGTTTGAGTCTCCAGTTCTGTGACCTTTTTAAAGCATAATTGGCTAATCACTCGCTGGTCCAGCACTTGGCCCCTGAACAAAGAGCTGGTCCTTTGGTACCAAACACAACGAATCTGCTCAAGCAGGCAGGAGTCCAACCCCATAAACAACCAATTAACATTATAGTCAAAACAAAAAAAAAATGAAAAAAAAAAAGAAAGATGTTCATCTCCAGCATAAGGCATATAACTAAGACGAATTCACAAAAGCCCTGAGCATCCCTGAGCTGTCAAAGCAGCCCAGATTTCTGTGGATTCTGATGGATTCTGTAGACTCTTCCAGTGCTCCAGTGCTCCAAATTCGCTCCTTGCTCGATCTCTGGCAGGGCCCCATAGGACCTGCAGACTCCACAAGAAATGTCCAAGCTAAGCGTTGTGTGTGTGTGGGTTCCCTGGGTTTCCATGGGTTTCCATAGTGAATGTCAACTGAAAACTAGTTAAAACTAGTGAAATGATGTGAAAACTAGTGAGAGAATGATGAGAATGATGAGAATGATGAGAATGATGAGAATGATGAGAATGATGAGAATGGGTTTCCAACTTGTGAAGTTCAACTCAGATTAGTCCAAGAAGGTGGGACCATAGTTGAGTCAGTCGCAGTCTCAAGGAAAGGCAAATTGAAAGCCAGGTCGACTTCAACCTATGACATTCCATGATGCATTCAAAATTACATAAAATCTGGTAATCATTGCGAAAATCATTTACAAGTAGTTATATTAGTATTCATTTGTTCAGTTTATTCTCAGCTTTTTGTAAACCATCTTCACCTGTGTCTTCACCTGAATCACTGGCCTCGAAGAGACTGTGCCGCACAGTGCCCGGCAGCTGTTCAACGCCACATCAGCGAGGCCAGGTTTTGGATCCAACAGATAGTACCTGCCAATCAAAAGATTCCAAGATTCCAACAGTGTGGATAAAATGGATCAAATTTCATGAAATGGATCATTCATTTCATCTGGACAGGGTAGCGACAGGGTAGCAACAAAGTAAAGAAGTTCACTGCGACGTATGCTTATGACAGTCATAGACCATAGAGATTCAAAGGAGATTTGCAAAATGCAAGTGGTTGCCGCAGGGAATGAAACTGAACATGGTAGAAGGAACTATAGGTAAAGGACAGGGAGAACAAATACGTGTTTGTCGGATTTGATCGTGTTGCAATGGGCGACTTCAACGGGTGCACCAGGCCTTTCGTCTCCTTTTGCCGACGGAAAGGAGGGCTGAAGACAGCCACTGAGTCGACGTTCTCCGAGGACTCCAAGCTGCTGCAGCTCTTCAACAGAAAGGCCCAGGTCGTAGCGATGCCTCCGAGAGAGAGACTTGAAACGTGCTGGGTATCGATACATGCGATTGCTGTAGATTGCTGAAGCTCGGTGGAAAAAACCCGGAGTGAATTAAGTTCAGACAAGGACGTAGTCCCTTTGTAGCTAGATATCAAATGATAAAAAATGTCATAGACGGGAGGAGCTATGGCCTTTGGTCCCCCACAAGCAGCACAGCGCGTGCGATCGCTCGCAGCAGCAAAATAAAAAGAAAATGCCAAACTGGCTCAAGTCAAGTCAAAAATATCAAACCGTCAGAGACGGTGACTGACTGCTTCAACAGTCTGAGCCAAGCTTGGCAAGAGGGGGAAGCTCAGGGCGATGCCAAAAGCAGGTATCGGTTCAGGCATGGACACAAGTTTTGGGTTCCCAAATCTGAACATATCTGAACAATCTTTAGGCCAGGGCGGGTTGTTCTGTCCATTCAACACACGAAGCTGATGGTTGTAATGCTTGTATCAATTGGTTACTGAGAAAGTTGTTCTTGATGTTTCTTGCAGCTTGGTAGAACCAACAACATACCATTTTCTTGCCCCCAGCCCGTCCTCACGTGCTTCTTCACAGAGCCAATGCTCACGTCAAACCTCCAAAAGTGCATTGCTTCTTACTGGATTTGGGGTTTTTGAATTACTGCAATTCTTTTGCTCAAAAAATCCTCCTAACTCAAAGCCTTCGCAATCCTTTGCTTTCAGTTACTTGTCCATACTTGTCCATATTCAACAACGAAAGGTATGGTGCATGCGCCAACCTGCCCACATGAAATCCTCTACAAATCTTCAGTCCTGTGACGAGTTCGGCCAAGAAGCAGATTCCACGCACCTGCTTCCGCCAACCAGTCTCGCAGTGCTGCGCCACTCACCGCTGCTTTTCGCCTCACACTAAAAGCTTCATGGAGGCTGCTTTTGGCCGCTTGTTCCGTCCCGAACGATCCTGAACCATCCTGAACCTTCCAAAGAACTATGGAAAACTTCTCTGAACTTCTGACCCAGCGTCAACCTGGTTTCCAAGGCGTAGGTATGCGACACCACACAGATTGGTGACATATCCATACCTCGGGTATGGTATATATGTAGCAAATTGTAGCAAGGTTAAGTCAAAGACAGAAGCTGCGGCGATGACAAGAACGGGTGGTGAAATGACAAAAGGCTGTTGATTGAGAACTCACGGAAAAAAAAACGTTGATACAAAAAACATATAACAGAAATGTGTCTTTGGAAAATATGTCCAGGTGACCTCAAACCACTCCAAGCGACAGAAGCCGAGTTTCATCAGCAAAAGGAGCTGCGCGCCCCCACGACAGTTGCTATCCATCATGGAATCCAAAGTGATCTTGGAGCAACTGTCGAATCATGAAACATGTGATATATATTATATATGTATATGTATATGTATCTTATATTATATTATATTATATTATATTATATGTATATTATATGTATATTATATGATATACATATATACATCGCTAGGGGGCTGATGTTTGCTCGAAATCCACGGAATTCCATGCAGGACTGCAATCTGCTGTGTTCTTTGGGTGTGTGTTTTTTTTTGCAAACTGCGAACATACAAAATATTGTTATTTCCTACGTCTCACGGCATTTTTGCGCTTACCTATTACGGTGCCAAAATCACCTTTTGAAGCATGTCTTAAAGATATCCTCCGCTATTTGCAATGTTTCGAACTGTTGACTAAAACCTCAACAAATCACAAGACTTTGAAAGAGCACCAACATCACCAACCCTTAAAAAAAACGAAATCAACCACAAATAACCCTAAATAGACCCTAAAGACACCTTTAATAAAGCCCTAAGACGGCCTTAAATAGCACGACAATTAACTAAACAAACCCTAAGTAAACCCTAAAACAATCTTTAATAAATCCTAAACAAACCACAACGTAAGTAAACCCCAATGAAACTTTGGACGAACGTCCGCCCCGGAGGGATATATATATATATGTATATATATATATGTATATATATATGTATATATATATATACATACATACATACATCTATGATTTATATGGTATATATATATTATATTATATTATATATATTATATTACATATATATATATGTACATGAAAGCCGATTCAGGCGAATTGACAGAGTGAGAAGTTGACCTTTGTGGCTTGAAGTCGGCACTCAGCTCCCAGCATCATGCTTGGAGGCCATCCTGGCTGACGGGCAGCATCCCCAAGGTTCTATCCCCAAGGTTCTCCAATGATGAAACGAATCGATAGGGGAAACTGGGGAGTGTTTTGCAAAACAACTTAAAACACCTCGAGGCTGAATTACATTGGGACATCACATAGGCTAAATTTAGTGGCTGCTCAGTGTTGCTGCTGGCATCTGCTCGGCCTCCAAAGCATATTTGCGAGGTGCTCGTCTCCCAGATCTTGGGATGCGCGATACACCAAAGGCCTCATAGCCAGAAACAGCAGCATTGGTTCACAGAAAATGTGCGGGGAATTTCCCAGAAACAGTAGCTGTAACAACTTGTAACAAACTCTTAGGCCCAGTCCAATCAATGCTTCCTTCCACCTTGCGATTTGAGGTGAGAAATCAGGGAAACTTCAATATCTTCAATCAAGTCTAACCGAGTTCTCTGCACCTCCTGGCATTCCGGCGTTGTATCAGCAGTTTGCACCACCCTCGACACGTTCAGCAGGAACATCATGGAACATCCAGAATCAGTGGAAAGTGCTGTCGCAGTGGATAGGATCCAACACTTTGGGAATGCCTAAGTCATACCAAAGTCATGTTCATTTAGAAATTCTTAATACAACCACTTTGTGTCACAAAAAGGGTGGCCTGCCAAGGTGAGTCAGGAGATTGATCAATGGCCATGTGGTCGCAGACCAACGCACCACATCCAGGTCACCATTTTGGAATACCTCGCGGTAAACCAAGAGATGCAGAATGATGCAGAATGATGCAGAAGCAGCAAAACATGCTGATCATGCTGCAAACACGGTCTTTGCAAAGTAAACTGGTGCTATCTGGTGCCGACTCACCCCAGGGCGTGTTGCAACTTTTGACACATCGACATCTCAAGCCTGTGCTGCATGGTCCCAATACTTCCTGCATTCGTGGCCGTCGCCAGCAATAGTGCACAATAGCACTTGGGCCACCTAAGACTGCCATGAATGGCACGTGCACGTGGCGTCATTCGATCCCATATTCTGCAAGACATTCACAATCAAGAACTAATTCTGACCCGTGCAACGATTTTGATTTTGACAAATGCAATCTGCGCATGTTGCATTTGGGGAGAGTCTTGACAGGGGATCGTCTAATGCTTCGCATCTGAGGTGACCACTACGAGTGTTAGGCGTCCAATGCTGCAGCCAACCCTGGGATGTCTCGTTGCACTCAAGCGTCTGAGCAAGACCGTGGCGCCCTCCTGCGACTTCGACTGCAAGGCACAAGCTTGGCAGCGCCACATGGTGATTGTTTGCAAAGCTAGCCGTCTGGAACGCAAGACACTCCATGGAACATACATTCATAATATTCATATATGTTTTCCATTGTTTTCCTATCACATATGTCATAGGTCAATCCCTTCGACTTGATTTTAACAATATGGATGGCAACACATGGCAACACATGGCAACAATCACACCCGTCCTGCCCAAATTCTTGGCCAAAGACACCTAGGGTCAAAGACTCTGTCAGCCTCAGCAAGGTCTTTCAAACTGCTCAGGCCATCCATGTAAATGCCATGGGTCCTTGAACACATGCTCGACATGGTGTTTCGATGTTTTGGAATTGTCAATGGTTTACTTTGTCAAAGTGTCCAAGGGCAAGACTTCTATGTTTACGAAGTTGGAAAGGGAACCCACAATGGAACTATGCACTGCCATGCACTGCCATGCACTGCCATGCACTGCCATGCACTGCCCTACAAAGGTAGCTTTCGTTGGCTTTCCCCAGTCACTGCCACGATGTCGGATGTCGCATGGTCTGTGTTCGATGTCCAAGGCTCTTGAGAAGCTGCTGTCGAATGCCATGCCAGTCGACACCTTGAAACTTCGATGTGCTAGAGATGCTCAAGGAGCAGCCGAGTGATGCCGAGTGGGTTGAAGTTCTACTGTAGTCCGTCTTGCAGTGCCACTGCAGGCTGTGGTTCGTTCCACCTTGTGTCCAGCACTTATCAATTCCAAAGTACAATATGATCCCGGTCCCTAATTGCAAAGGAAATGCCAAGTAGAAGCGCATGAGGAATAGGAAATTTATTGGGGAAATGGTCACATGAGACTCATAGCTGCAAGCTGCAGAGCCTCCAGCAACCGGCAAGAAGGAAGGCCGGAGGCAGTTCTGATCCTCTGCAAAAAAAATTGCGGTGTTCAATAATTTTCCCTGTTGCAAAGGTATTTACACGGTCCTCCAGCAATGCACTGGCCGGCGATGGGATGGGCAGCTTGCAGCAATATTCAAAGGTGAATTCGCTGTCCTTAGGAAAAAGGATCAAAACTGATGATTTTTTACATCTAAAGACAAACTCTGGTCCACTGCGCCGTGGCAGTCAGACATGAATGAATCCAAAAGATGCGCGTGCCAATCCACAATAGGAATAGCATGGCAGATGATTTAGCCAGTGGTCTTGTTTTCAATTCTTGTTTGATGTTGGCACTTAAGCTTAAACTCACCACTGTTTCTGCTTTGTTGTGATAGCTGCCAAGTATCCCAGCACTCGGGCTCACCTCTCACCAACTATTTTCCATCACGACAACGGTTTCTGTTTCTATTGTGCACTTCCAAAATATTCCAAGTATGAGTTCATTTTGTTCATTAGAATCCATGCGACTCTGTCAGACTCCTAGGTTTCCACAACGAAAACAGTAACGAAATCCAACATGTTTTGCCCTTCAAAACATGGCCAACTCATCGGCCTCGGGGCTTTGCCCGGGTGCAGCACCACTTAAAGCTGAAGCCCTCCCGAAAGCATGAGGTGATCCTGCAGAAATGCAAAAAGATTCAAAGATATTCAAAGATAATCAAGTCATGAAGACATTCAAAACGCCACATGCAAAAGGATTCAAAGCATGGTCTCTCTTCAGGTGATTTCTTCAACGTTTCACCTGTATTCCTCAAACACAATTTCCTCACTGCGGCCCTCCTTTGAGTAGTCAGACCATGTCAAACCTATGAATGGAGTGATGGATCCACGGACGAACCGATGGATGGATGACCCTGGATGACCCAACAGCATGGCCACTGGTTTCCCAGACCTGCTTCGCAGGTCAGAGCTCATTGCCAACGAATGGCGACCTACCGGACTCGACGTCAAGACGTGTTGTCGGTGTGATATGTTTGATTCTTTAAGTTCACCTAAAGTTTTTGTCATATTTTCAGACGTATTGTTTGTCAGACATGACACTGTCATCCATCTGGGAAAGAAACAATTCTGCAGGCTCATGAAACTAGTTGTGGCTTAGGCTTACGGGACCAAGACTGCACGCTGTGAATTCAGCGGGTTCATGAAATCCAGCTTTCAGAAGTCGCAAACACCAACAGCAGCCAAAAGCATCCAACACCATAAGTTGTCAAAAAAAGTGAGTGTAAGATCAAATAGCCTGCATGTTCATGAACAAGATTGTGAAAACTGAATGTTTCAAATACCAGGCCGGCCCTGCATGTTTTTGTCCATTGCCTCATAGAGTAAATAAAATCGGAACCCCTGCAGAGCCACGCCTGCTCCGGGATCACTTCCTGTCAAAGGACAGCTTCGAACAGCTTCGAATGAGAGAAGGGTCAGATAGGGTCAGAATCGCAAGTTCGCACCATGAGTTTCGGCTGCCATTTCACTCGACCTGACCGAGAGAAGTGCCGTGGCGTGGCGTCAACATTCAATGACAGGGGAAGCACGTCCCGTGGAGCCATGGAGCCAGTGGCAGCTTCAGCTCCTTCCCTTAGCACTGTCCAGCACGGTTGCAGCATGGTTGGACCTTTACCCTCCGACTGGGCCCGCTACGCCTTTCCAGCCCCAGGGTGCGTGCTTGGAGCACGCGGACAGTAGTGCCCAAGTACACCACCCGGCATCGGTGCCTGTCTAGGACTCATAAATATGGAAGACGGTGGGGAAGAAAAGCAGACAGATGAGAGGAGAGGGAGGAGAGGAGAGAGAAGGAGAGAGAGAGAGAGAAAGAAGAGAGAGAGAGAGAGGAGAGGAGAGAGAGAGAGAGAGAGAGAAGAGGAGAGAGAGAGAGAGGAGAGAGAGGAGAGAGAGGAGAGAGAGCAGAGAGAGGAGAGAGAGCAGAGAGAGAAGAGAGAGAAGAGAGAGAGAGAGAGAGAAGAGAGAGAAGAGAGAGAGAAGAGAGAGAGAGAGAGAGAAGAGAGAGAGAGAGAGAGAGAAGAGAGAGAGAAGAGAGAGAAGAGAGAGAGAGAGAGAGAGAGAGAGAGAGAGAGAGAGAGAAGAGAGAGAGGAGAGAGAGAGAGAGAGAGGAGAGAGAGGAGAGAGAGGAGAGAGAGGAGAGAGAGAAGAGAGAGAAGAGAGAGAAGGAGAGAAGAGAGAGAAGAGAGAGAAGAGAGAGAAGAGAGGGAAGAGAGAGAGAAGAGAGGAGAGTGAGAGGAGAGAGAGGAGAGAGAGGAGAGAGGAGAGAGGAGAGAAGGAGAGAGAGGAGAGAGAGGAGAGAGGGAGAGAGAGGAGAGAGTGAGAGAGAGGAGAGAGAGGAGCGAGAGGAGGAGATATATATATATATTATATCATATATATATAGGGAGTATAGATCATATTATATATTATATATTATATAGTATATATATATATATATATTGTATATCTATATATATATTATATATTATTATATTATGTATTAGATATTATGTATTATGTATTATGTATTACATATTATATTTTATATATATTATACTATATATTATATATTTTCTATATAATATATAATATATAATATATAATATATTATATATAATATATTATATATAATATATTATATATATATTATGTGTATATATATATATTATAATGATTTCTTAGCTCAGGTGCTGTGTTTTATGGCTGTTTGAATGGAATCCTCTAATGTTCTGGGATGTGGGAATTGAATGGAATTTACGGATATGGGCTATGTGAAACCAATGGATCCCCGTCTCCTCTTCTCCGGCCATTGCGGCTGGTATTTGACTTCCGGTTTCCTTGGAACAAAAGATGGCAGCCACGCCAGCGCTTGCACCGCTGAGGTCTGAACATCAGGGAAGGTGCCATCACCTTGGAACATCTTGGAACAAGGATCTAGACTTTCGAAGCCATTCCACTTCTCATGAAAAAAAGACCTCACTCCCTGACAGTTCCTCACAGTTGGAACCAATGTCCTTATTTGTGTCCTTGACCTTAAGGCTGTTTTTGACGCATCGCACCTATGTGCATTGCAGTCTGAAAAGGTAGCTGCCTCCAGCTGAAGTCCTTCCTATTCGCTTGGCGAAATTGAAAGGCATTCTTGATATTCTTGGCTGGTCGCTTAGCGACCTTTGCCCAAGTTCTTCATGGTTTTCTGAAGCTCAGAAGCGCTTCTGGAAATCCATGTGGAAGAGATGGGGTACCTCGACACGGATTCGGATCATCTGAATGTGTATCTCATGGACTCAATTTGACTCAATGAATGAGAGAGAAGGCTTCATTTAGGTACCTTTCAAGACCATTCAAGACCCATCAAACAGCAACAAGATCAACAAGCAGGCAAATTGATCCAAATCAATCCCAGTCGGACTCCATTTCCACGGAGCCCACAGCCCAAAATGGCCCAACATAGCCCAAAAATGCCGTTTCAAACATAGCCGAAATGCCTGGGTGGTCGAAGGTCTGCAGGATAGAAGCCATGGTCGTACGAGGTGATAGGAGGACCCTCGGATTGGATCAATGGAGACGATTGCAGTGTTCGACGGAGTGTGACTGATGTGTTTGATGTGTTGTGTTAGTGACTGTTAGTGACTGTTAGTGACTGTTAGTGACTGTTAGTGGGTGTGAGTCGGGTGTGTGAGCAAGTGTGTGAATTAGTGAAAAGCAAATCTTTGACAATCACATCAAGAAATGCTGCCTTGTGGTCCCTACACTTCCCTGGGGCCCGCACCCGTGTCTGATCAAACATCACGCCAGGGCTGTTCGGACAACGTGCGTGCTTTCGCCTCGGCACCAAACCACACAACGTCGACCTCAACGATGGCAAGGTCACATTGGATACACATTGGATCTCTCATTGGTCAAGGCCTGTGATCCATCAGCATGGAATAGGAAGAGTAGGAGCCACCTGTGACACACCAACAGTTTGATTCCACATGACTCAATGTGCTGTGTTTGGATAATGCACAAGAACTCAGGAACAGTTGTTGATATGACTGAAGTGACTCAAGTGACTCAAGTGACTGAAGTGACTGAAGTGACTGAAGCATCAAGATTGACTTTCACATCTTCCACACTTTGTCTCCAAGCCTTTCTCGGCTATATCAATGCCAGCGATGGGTCGATCACGATCCTCTGCCCATGGTGCACCAATGCCTCCCTTGCTCTTGGAGGAAATCAAGTCCTGCGGCATCTGCATACTTCTGACAATATCTGACAATTCAATATAATTTGATCATCATCCAACTGTCTTCAATACAATTTGATCATCATCCAACTGTCATAACTGTCCAAAGGTCAAAACTTCTGCAGAATAAGACGTTTGAACGTGGGAAATCGACTGTGTGAAACCATAAATCCCAGACCTTCACGGTTTCAATCCGTGGATTTCCCAACGCAAATGGAGACCTCGGAAGTTTCCCAACGCGTCTGTGTCTTTGTGTCTCTTCAGATTCTCTTCAGATTCTTCACTTCTGGCAGTGCAAGAAGAAAGGGATTTTGACTTCTAAATATAAGATAACTTCTATATTCTTAATATGTCTTAATATTATTCTATATTTTGTATCTCGTTGATGCTTGCTGATGCCACTGACCTTTTGGAACGTCGCATGTCCATGTCAAGGCTCTGACCACTCTGAGATTGTGGGTTCCTCACAGCCAGGCAGCAAGCCTTGTGACAGGCAAGCCCCGCCCACGGCTGTGTGCCCTGTCATCTTGCGGAAGTCTTGCAGGGACACCTGGACTCTGGACGAATCCGGAAACATGAGGTGAAGAAATGTGAAGAAATGTGAAGAAATGTGAAGAACAGGTGTCAGTGACTGTCAGTGACTGTCAGTGACTGTCAGTGACTGTCAGTGACTGTCAGTGAGTTAAGACACGCAGTGAGCGCTGTGCCACGGGCCTGCTTCCTCATTCCCTGAGTGACTGAGTGAAGCTGCACAGAACTTGAAGGATCTTGAGGTACGTCAAGTCCTACAAGTCCTCCATCTCACTGAGGCTACAGCATCTATGCGTGGCAATGCCATGGCCGCAGCAAAGTTGTCCAAAGTTGAAAAAACGACAGCCAAACAACACGTGTTGAACGTGTTGAACGTGTTGAAAGTTGAGAGTCAATTGTAACACACGGTGACATTGTGATGTCAAGTGCCTTTGGGCCTACCTTGGTGATATTGACGTTGGCCTACGGCCACTTACCCACTACTCATCCCTTGATCCACGGCGCGTGGGACTTCCGCTGCAAGCTGGGTTCCAAGCCGCAGGTGTGAGCTGCTGTCACAAGACAAAGGCAGCAAAGGCAGCAAAGGCAGGAACTCAATTTCAATACTCAGGGGAGGGCCGAAACAGCCGAAGCAGAAAAAGGGGGCACTCACCGGTTGATCCAAATTGCTGCGGAATGTTGCTATAGAAATCGAATACGATTGGATACGATTGGATCTAAATCTTTTGCATCACGAGAGTGGGGTCAAGCCCAGCGCTTTGAGTCAAGATTCCTGAGGCATGGTCGTCACCCTGAACAGGTCCTCATGCTTAGGGTGCAGCTAAACTCCTAAGCCTTTAAGCCCGTAAGCTTTATTAGAGAAGCTTTACATAGCTTTAATGTATTTTTTCTGTGGCAAATTGCCATTATTAACTAATTTTAACTTTCAAAACTAAATCCATTTTGAAAAGTTGGTTTTTCACGACACACGACTCCAGCGGGCAAAGCAGGGCATTGGGGTTCCTCAAATCGGCGGAAGTGTTCACCAAGCTCCGCCGAGGGGATGCCCATTTGCCTTGTCCCAGCCGTGAAAAACTGGAAATATTGGCATATATCTAATATATATATATATATAATTATGTATATATTGTATATATATATATAACAATTTTCAGTGGGTAGTGGATGACGGGTAGATGTGGGTTTTATAGCATATTTTTGATATGTTCTATCATCTTGACATAAATATGTCTATACGTATGTACATGTATATATATATATATATTGACATTATATAATCAATTGACATGTTATATCCGTAAACAGATTTTAGATCATCAAACAACATTCATCAACCAAACTGCGTTTTTGAAAGTGTTCCGATGTACATGGCACTGAGAAACTTCCGACCTGGCTCGATCCAAGAACAAGGACAACTTCTGCGTGTCCTGTGTGCACAACAAGCACAGCTCAAGCAGAATGCGTGGCATACCGTTCAATACATTGAATGTATCATATTTCTGAAATGTTGCGTTTTTGAATGCATTATTTCCAAAATTTCAAGAGAGTAAGAGATATCATTTGCGTGTCCTTCAGGTTTTACTTAAGTCGCCTCGATGCTCTATGTCTACCAACACAATGTTCAAGCATGTCAAGTGCGCATCTCTCACAGCCTGAGTGCGGCAAATTTTCCGCTTGATCTCTTCCTTCACAGCACCAAATCCAGAAATCCAGTGCCAACTCGTCAACTTTTGCCTCGGACAGTGACGAACTCTGACTGTGTCCCCACCTGATACTCCTGCAAGCGCTTCCTTGCCGGCACCAGGGACAAAGAATCTGGACACAAGGTCTCCACCTCGTCAGCGTTCAGCTGAAAATAAATCAGGAAATCAGCGCAGCTCGGCAGTTCACTTCATCACAGGAGGTGAAGTCGTCACATAAAACAAACACTACATCCACAGGTTGCCCGATGCACCTCCTGGATGACCTGACGAAGGATCACCTCTACAAAACAGAATAAAAGCATGGTTGAAATATGTTGGAAATATGTTGGAAATATGTTGGAAATATGTCCAGAATGTCCAGAATATGGCCAGGTGAAGTCTGGTGAAGTTGCTGTGATTCTACAAGCAGAAACCGCGTAGGATCCGGGCGCCATCTTGAGTGGAGGCAGCCCATCGAAGCATTTCCTGCGGAATCTGACTGGATGAGTTTCCACCCAGAATACATGTCTCCTATTTGTCTCCCTACTGGAATCCAGCGCATTTGTAGAGTTTGACGGAGTTCAAAGAAAGCTGGGTTTCAAGCTTGTGTTCTAGATGTTCTAGATACATCTAGATACTGGATTGTGACTTAATACATTTGTATATTATATATATATTTATATATTTATATATACACCTGATTCACTCTATACTTACACTTTATACACTTTGCACATTTTTGCACATCTTTTGCACATGAATTGTGGACCCAGTGGACCCTCCTGGGCGCGCTCTGGAGACTGGCGCTCCTGCTTGGCCATCTCGGCATAGAGCTGCCTCAGGAACAATTTGGAAATGTCAATCGCACAGTGGTACAGTGTGATAAATATTGTGGAATATACATCATTTATATACATCATATATTTCATATATTATATTATATCATATGTGTCAAATATATGTCAAATATATTATATATGTCAATTTTATGTCATTATGTGTTGCATCCTTTTCCAATACGGAACCGCGACGAGTCAGCACGGCCTGGCGGCCAGCACATCCATTCCTTCCGCCTCTGCCTGAGACATTGCCGGAGCTCGGCCCAAAAGTGCCACAAAAATGGTGAAAAAATGGTGAAATGAGCTCGATATGAGTATATATCACATGTTATCACCGATGATAAGACCTTTATAAAATAGAATCAAACCAATTCTCATGTTCTTTTTCTGGCAAGTTTGGGGACAAATTTTGGGAGTGCAGGGCGAGACCTGGCGGATGGCATCTCGGAGGTTGCGACAGTCGCCGTGGCGCCTCAAAGTACTCAAGCTGCCGAGAAAAGAAAACTCACCGAACACCACACCCTCTGAGCATTAGGAGAATTCTGTGTGACTCTCTGCTCTAGGATAATTCTGTGTCACTCGTCTCATATTGTCTCTGTTCCTCAAACTCTGTCAGTTTTGATCGAGACATGGCTGAGGACGCAGCTTGGCATCATCGATCAACCGCTCAACCTGAAAAGAAAACAAAAAGAAAACGAACAAAACAAAAGCGATATGCCATGTGGGCCATGTGGGCCATGTGAGCCATGTGGGTGATGTGTGCCATGTCCATGCGATGTCCAGTCGAGGGCCAGTTGTCAGCCAGTCGTCAGAGTCGTCAGTTTCGAGTCGTCGATTCGTCGGTGGTTTTTGGGACCTCCTTCCGACGGCCACTGGCACAGCTTTCACAGCCGCCCATCCTGCGCAGGTTGCAGCGAAGGCAGTGACACTGACGTTGATTTTCTTTTTAAGAAGATGTTTTAAAGTCAAGCTCTGTTAAAAGAAAACACTATGTGGTTATGTTATTTTTTTCATTCGTTCTCACTCTGTTTTGGAAATCCAGGTCTTGAGACTGACTGTGGATCGCCCCTGCCTCTGCCCAACTGCCAGGTCTGCAGTGTGCTGAGCCCAATGTCAGTTTTTGGACGGGCACATGTCGTGAGAGTTCCAGGTCACGACCATGACGTTATGGTTTGATGTTCAAAACTCAAAACGTTTCAGGACGCCTGACATGAGACACATCTAAGCCACATCGAATGGTAAAGGCAGTGAATTTCATGCATTTTCTCTCCGCCAAGCTCCAAGATGCTCCAAGCTCTTGTGCTGCAAATAAGAGCAAACTGTACATGGAGCACAACGAGGCAGAGCTGGAAGTGGTTTCCATGGGCTCTTCAGGCCATCGAAAGACTCACGGTCTTCCCTTCGCACTTTCGTGCGAAGCCTCGTGAGCCTTAAATAATTTGCATCGAATTATCATCTTAACCATGATCAACCTCTACCATATCTCACACTTGTTCTTCCATATCGTGGCAACATCTGATTTTTTTGTGGTTTGTATTGGCAGTGCTTTGATTGACGAAATTGGATTGGGTAGCGGCCCTTCCTGCCGTTCTTTCGACTGTATCGGACAACGGGACCACCAATGACGTGTCTCTCCGATTTGCCCCTTGAGTTCCACTTCTGCTGGCGCTGCAGAGTCACATGGCGAGCAAATGCACTTCTGGCGTTCTTGCAACGGTCGGCCAGCGACCAAAGATGCGAGTACGGCGAGTACGCCGAGTACAGCGAGCAGGGATTGCTAGCGTCGCGTCCATGCAACTCCGTGACGATGGCTTCCAATTCCAGCCGGAGGTCTTTGGGAAAATTCGACACGTTCGTCATCAAATAGAAACCTTTCACATCCAAAAACCATCGGTGGAAGATACCGGGAGCTCCATCTAGGTTTCCACCCCATCCAAATGCAACAAATGGCATGGGAAAATGTGCCACATCTGAAGGAAGTAACCCCATGCCATACTCTGGTTTCACAAATGGATACATCCATTCTATTCGTTCATAAGGAAGCTCTCCATCCACCGTCATCACGTAGTGCTGGTGGCACGTGTCATCCAAACGTGCAACTGTCACAAACATTGGGCATGACATCAAAGGCGGGATATTGATGTTGAAATTCTCTGCCATTGTTAGGGCAAACAGAAGTTGCGCCCCAAGCAGCAGAAGCATGGGTACAAAGCGCACTGAACACCAAGCGCAGGCCAGTTCAAGGGTATTGGAGCTACAGAAAATACCAACCAAAAGTGAAGGAGTCCAATAGCTCACATAGTCAATACCTTGAAGAAAAAGGACAGCAAAATGCATTCCTACCAAGGCCAAATAGGCCAGGTGTTGCACTGGGAAGAAGAGCGACAACAGGGGGCCGAGCTCACACACCATCGAAATCCAACCACCCAGATGCGCAACGGAAGGGTGCACGAAAATGAATCGCTGTAGAGCAGGGAACGCAGGGAAATTCGTTTTTGCCCACATTGACTTCCAAAGAAAACCATGGAGAGACCATCTGGACCAGGACTGGCCGCGTATGATTGACGTGACAGTTTTTTGAACAACTGACATAATGTAAATGCTGCAAATGTGAATCCGGAAGGCAGCTGTTGCATGGGAAAGGTCTGGAGCCAGGCATGAGTACATCCACAATGTAATGGTCAGAATTTCACGATGGTGGGATGAAGCACGTTCAGCCCACAAAGAACCATGGTAGAGGATACTTAACATCAAACCAGCAAAGTGCAAGAATGACGTTGTTGGTGTCCAAACACCTGCCAGGAGAACTCCACCATATAAATATGCAACCACCCGAAGCTGGTTGGTCGTAATATTTGGCACCGGAATGCATCCAAAGACTGCATATCCGTAAGTCGCCAAACCACGGCGCTTCGATTCTGACAAACCACAGTCTACAAACCACTCGTAAAAAATTATTTGACGCGGCCAATGCGAACACAGTGCGAGTAGCTGGCAAAAACACCAAGCACTGAAATAATTTGAAGCCTCGGTCAGGAAATTCACTGCATTCGCGTTGGCCTGTTGGTTTACGATCATGGCAAGGACTCCAAGCATCAGTTGTTTTTTAATTTGTTCCTATGTATGAATGATTTGAATGCCACCAATCCCCATGTTGTTCGAACAAATCACAAATCACAATGTTTGCATCCGTTTGCTTTCCAATGATGGTAGGACAACTGGAGCCATGACTTCGCAGCAATGTCACATCCATGTTTCAGGTACAGCCTTATGGTTTTGAAATCCAGGACATACAGGGAATGAAATGGGATTTGCATGAATTTAAAAGAAATGTCAAACAAAAATTCAAAAAATATGTTTTTTGATGTTTTTTTGGGTGAAATGTTGCTGTGGTTCAAACACAACAGCAGGGATAACGAAAAAAAACATGTTCATTTCATGTTCATGAAAAACATGCGCTGTTCTTATTTCCCTAAACATAAAAACCGTCAACCTCTTCATATGCAGACGTCTGAACTTTTCATCCGTACAAATCTGATATACTTCTTGATTTGTGTTTGTGTGAGCGGGAGCGCAACTTTTCTTGAACCGCAAGGGCCTCACAAGTTATGTATGAGTTTCCCATGCATTGCCATGAAACTTGTTACACTTCTCAACACTGATTTGTGCTGTCATCTTTGTGATGAGTGTATCCAAAAATACTACGCACTCCTCCTCGACAGTGTGCAGTCATAACTCTCACTGTCGCTTTGTATTTTTCTGTCAAAAGCATCAAGCGCATGTTCAGCATCCTTTGCTGAAAATTCACCTGAAAGAAAATTTTCCACTGTAGTTTCATGTCTGCCCTGGTGTTTCAAACTCTTCTGTGTTTTCCTCTCTCAAGACTCTGTCGGTTTCTTGTCCTGCTTCTGCATGCGTCCTTTGGTGAATCAAGCTCAAGTATTGATAAGCTCCCATGGTGTTGTGGGCCAAGAGGTTTGACTTCTCCTGTGCATCCATTGCTAACGCATGTTCTGCCTCAATGCCCATGGGAAATCGTACAAACCCTCCTATTTCCACCAATCCAAAATGAAGGCCACGAAGGTAATCATGATCCATTGAAGCCACTTGCTCGGCTTCAGTCAATTTTCCTTCCAGCATCATCACTTGGTTGTGAAGGGTGTCGATTCTCTTCTCTTGGGTGCTGATGTACTGGTCTTCATCAGCAACTTGGCTCCAGCAATGGTACATGTCACTCTTGACCTCCCACAAACGCTTTTCAAGTTCTTCTACTTTGCAAGTCAGTTTCTTCCAAACGCACCAAAGCTTCCATGTAAAGAAACACCAAACAACCAGCAAAGTAAAAATTGCCATCCACACCCAACTGTCATGGCGCTCAACCGCTTCGAAACTTTCATTGGGGCACATCTCCAAACCATCCATGGAAACTGCCTCCACTCCAAGAGTAGGCCCAAGGCCCTGCATGGAAACCATCAAAGTGATCTGCCTGAGTGTTTTTGCTAGTTTGCTGATGTCTCTGCGTTGATTGTCTTGCTCCAAGACCGCTTCATGTTTTTCCAGTCCAATGGGTTGGGTGGTTGTTGCATCCACCATCCCAATTCCATAAAGCAAGAATGCCATTCTGGCGCGCTGCAAGTTCTTTGTGCCAACATCGCTGTAGTTCCATACTGTAGAAACCTGATGGACCATGACATCACCATTCAGTACCTTGGATTGCATCCACAACAATTTGCCTGACAAATGACGAATACGCCCAACTCCTTGGCGAGAAATCAATTGCCGGGCAGCTGAGTTGTCTGTAAACTGATGGTGCTCCACTGTCAAGCCAACCAAGAGAATTCCAAACAGCTTTTGATGTATATTCCATCGCAGCATCCACTCACCATACTGTGAAGTTCACTCTCTGCCGATGAAAGTGAAATGACCTTTTGAGAACGGCTTGCACCAAAAGCAAAGCAGCCATTGATGAAGTGCACTGAACAACTTGTGCTACGTCGATGGGCCTTGTTGGAACTCCAGTCTGCATCAGTGAATGTTTCCAAGACCCATTCTGTCTCAGCACCATGTTTGATTTTCCCTGAACCAGGCTCTGGAAACTGTAGTTTGATTCCAACATCACCAGCACACTTCACATATCCAATCAACTTCCGAAGACGTTGAACTGAACACAACGTAGGCTTTGACATTGCTGACGCAAGCTCTTTCACTCCAAACATCAAGTCTGCACGATCCCTGGCCAAGTAAAGCAAAAGGCCAATCACACTTCTGAACTTCTTTGAGTCTTCTGCGCTGAGAAACTGTGAGTGATCTTCCTGCTGCAGGGAAGCATCTGTTGGAACCTTTTGAACCCTGGCATGCCCAAAGTGCTTTTCGAAACACTCCACAACTTTTGAAGCTGCAGTACCAGGCACCAACATGACTCCATCGTCCATCATGACTAAGCGTCTCTTCAGGAAACTCACTGTTGAGCCAACTTCACCAAGTACATTGTAACTCACGCTGAACTTTTGCTGCATCAAAGGTAAGAAGGTTTCATTCCAGAACTTTCGACTTCCTGTGAAAAGAAGGTCGTCCACATGCAACATGAAAACGTTCCTACCACACTTTGCCAAGCAAGGTTGAACATCACACCATTCAAACTGCATGCTGTCGGTTGCAAAGTTTCTGAAAAACCAATACCATGCCTTTGCTCCCAGTCGTTGGCCTGGAAGATTTCTCAAAACCACATACTCCGTTCCATGCAACGTCACTGAAACCACATGTTCCTGAGGCACTTGAAGAAATGCATCCTTTATGTCCAGTGAAGCAAGGATTTCATCATATTCTTCACCACCAAGCTCGCTCAACTCCAACTGCTTAAGTCTTTGCAAGAAGAGGATTGGAATGAGATTTGCTGTGTGACATCCAGTTGCAGGTGAATACACATCGTCTCGTTTGTCATTTGCAAATTCTCGAGCCACATAACGGCTTCTCCTCATCCACTTCTTTGTTTCACCCTGCTGCAAACCGCTGCCATCATCAAACGTTTTCAACCTCCAATCATAAACAAACCTGGTAGTGAGAACTCCACTGATTTCTCCCTCAAACTCTGAACGCTCTTGCAGGACTCCCATGCCAAGCAACCTCTGGATTTCCACTTGGTCTGCCATCTTGTCAATCCATGGTTCTGGTGGTGGTGGCATGGAATCAATTGGTGAGTCTGACCACAACGCTGTTGGCACATTGGAAAACTGCAGTGATTCTTCATCTCCCCAGACATCATCTACGTACTCATCGTCCAAGGTTGATTCCAACTGAGGTTCATTGCTGTAATCGTCCAGGGTGTGGTACTCATCACCACCAAACTTGACTGTTCTGATCATCTTGTCTTGCAGTTCTCTCAACATCCCAATGCGCTGTTTCTTCTGCTTTTCAACACGTGCCTTCTTGGCTTCATGACTCTCATCTTCAGCATCATCCTCATGAACATGTATGGTTGGTGAGGGTCGAGGACTTGAAGGTTGATGGAGCAAACGGTCATCAAGAGGTGTTCTTGGAGCGTACAAATCATCATCAACAAGCTCATCCTCCATCTCTTTGAGGAAGCTCATGTCCACTCCATCTTCCTCACCAAACACGCTAGGATTCCCAGCTGAAACTGGGATGTGAACTCCATCATCTTTTCCTCCAGCTGCCGTTGGTGTCTGAGCTGTGTCTCCAACGGGTCTCAAAGGTTCTTGACCCTGGTCCTCTTTGCCCATTGCCTGCTGTTCCTTTTCTTCACGTTGCTCCTCCTGAGCCTTTTTCTTAACTGCTTCACCATCAACATCATGCAGTACTGATGGAAGAACTGGGCCCAAAGGAGGTTGTTGAGACTCAGGGATTGGTTCAACTGAGCGCTTTGTAGGGATCACACGGCCCCCAAAACCTGCTTTGAACTTCCAAGTGGGTGCATCAAAATGAATGTAAAACCCAAGGTATAGTTTCCAGTCAGTTTGAATGCGCCTTGCACTCCTTGAAAGCATCACACCTGAGCCAGTGTAGACCACAAAGGTGTCCTGCGCTTCTGTCTTTCCCAACATCAGGACGCGCTGCCACTTGGGGTTTCCTTTGTGGCTGGTGTGCACGTATGCAAACATTGGTTCACCAAACTCAGCAAGCTTACCCTTGTAGGGCTTTGAGTAAACCAGTTCAAAGGGTGTGCAACCATGTGTCACTGCAAACCTGTTAAGCAACCAACTCGCATGACGCATTGCCCACGACCAGATACTGTTGTTTGTGCTGAGCTCCATTGAAAGTTGCTCTTGCAGTCGATACATCAGAGATCCAGCTAGGCTTCTGACCCTTTGCACAGTGTTTTCACAGGGAGAATTTCCATGACTGTAGGCTGCTGGGGTCTTGTCACGTGTTGCCAAACCCAAAGCAAGCCTGGCACGCACTGCTCTTTGTTGGACCTGTCGAATGCTGGGCTCATTGTCGCACAAATAGACACATTCTGAGTGTCCCAACACCTGAGTAAATTGCAAGATTTCACGTACCATCAGGTCAAACTGTGATTTGGCTTGAATTGGCACACAGCCAGTGTAGTTGGTCTGTGAGTCAACCATGACAAGTGCAATGACCTGATCAGTGTTCTGTATGTTCCCATCTGCTGCAACTGCACGTGTATACGCAAAATCAAAGGAAATTGTTGGGACTTCACCAGCTTTCACACCATCGTTTCTCATCTGTCTGTCCTGCCTGGACCTGTGAGCTACACACGCTGGGCACCAATCCTTAAAAGGAACATGAGTCAGCTGATGTAGAAGTTGCTCCTCCTCAGATGGAGGATCTGCCAAATGCTGAGGTCGAGGAAGTCTCTGCTGTGCTGCCTCTGCTTCCTTTGCTGCAATCAACGCTGTCTGCAATTCAAGACGCTTTTGGAATTCCCATAGCCTCTCAAAACAACGCTTCTTTCCACCAGAAGTTGACAGCTGAAAGAATGAGCAAGCCTCACGCATTGTTGCCAGTGCAGTATCCTTGTAAATTTCAACTCCATTGACATTCAAGTGATCACCCCTTTCAGGAGATAAAACAAGATTGCCTTGAACTTCTGCACCTCCTACATCTGCTCTTTGTGCATCAATGTCAACTCCAACAATTTCTGCGTCTTCTGGGGCTAAGGGCGCTGCAGGTTGCATTTCAACGTTTGCCTCCTGTTGCAAAAGAGGCTGAGCACCTTCATCCAGTAGGCTAAAGCCCATGACCTGTGGTGCCTTCTCAGCATCTGTGATGACTGTCAAAACATATCTGTCACCTGCAAGTCCATGAAACTCTGCTGACAAGTCAACAAGTGCATCCAAACGTTCACACAACTCCAAAACCAACCATTGACCACCATCACGCACCAAGGTTGTACGGTACTTTGCACCTGACATGGAAGGGCACACCAAAGTAGGATCCTGAAAACAATTTGAAAAATGCTTTCCACGTCCAACTCCCTCATCATTGAGTTGCCAGCCAATGCGCATCTCTGACAAGTCTGGCACAACATCAGCCCTCACTGCCCTAACAGTCAAAGTGTCTTGCTGCTCATCCTTCAAAACACGTATCCATCCACGTACGGCCAATGACTGATTCTGCATTTCTATTGGAACACTGACACCACAGCCATGTTCTAAGGTGCTTTCAGCTGCGTGACACCCCATTCATTTGACATCAAATGCCCATAGCACATGATTGGCTGAGTAACATGTCTACTCACTGCAACAGTTTCACGCAAAATCACAGCACGGCCATCTCGATCTGCTAAATGCAACTCCACATCTCTCATGGCATCAATTGGAATCACATTGCCTTGGGCGTCCTGCAGTTTGGAAACCGGTTGTTCAGACTCAACTCCAAGTCCAGCCATTGACGCTGGGAAGATACTGGCATCAGCACCACTGTCCAACAAAATGTTGTACATGTTTGAATCCTCTGGCATTGTTTCCAAAACTGCACGTACTGAACCATCCAAACAAGTCTGAGGCTCCTCACCAATGTAAAACCTCATCACTCGTACTGAACCTCCCTGTCTGGAAGGGCTTGTCACCGGGCTGCGCAAGTCAAAAACTACTTCACCATGTTTTGAAACATCTGAAGCTTGATGAAACTCAGTGTCACACTCATGAATTCTTGCAACTCTAAACTGGGTTGCTGACTGTTGTGGGGCACTTGAACTTGGAGAACCACCTGCTGTAGCGCTCGAAGGAGTCTGTGGGGTCTGCATAGCCTGAGAGTACGGTTGTTGTTGACCCTCATTTTGCACATTCCTCACACTCTGCCCCCATGCATTGCAATCCTTGGCATAGTGCCCTGGATTTCCACACCGGTAGCAAACATCTGAACGTGAATAGCCTTTGCCTTTGCCACCAGCTACATCATGTTGCTTCCCACCTGTTTTGCCTTTGCCATCGCTCTTGGATTTTCCTTTGTAACCAGATTTGCCATCTTGTTTTGATTTGGATTTGCCCTTTGACTTTCCCTTCTGCTGTCCCTTCTGCTGGGTCCCTTTTCCTTTGTCCTTTCCACCTTTCTTGCCTCCTCCATGAACGCGATCTACCTCCATGGGGACTGCTGCACTTGTGTCCTCTGAAGAAAAGAGCAAACCGGCCCACTTCTGTTGACTTCTATCCCATTTCAAAACATGCTCACGCAAATCTTTGAAAGACGTAGTGTCTTGAATTGCCAGATTCAAATGTGTTCGAAGCTGACCACTGACACATTTCAAAAGTATTGCTTGTTGAAGCTGATCTGGGATTGTTGTTCCAGCTCTTCGTGCCTCTTCTAAGGCATCCTCCAATTTCAACAACTGCGGCTGCAAGGGTTGATTCATGGAAAACTGAGGCCAACTTGTAAGTGCTGCCATCAAAGCCAGTCCACGTCCACTTGTCGATGGACGAAGCGCCAGTACCAACTGCCTAAGCGCCTCGTAGCCGTCTGTGTTCTTGACGCTACGTATGATGTTCAGGCTCCTGTTTCTGCACAAAGAGGCCAACATTCCATATAGTTTGGAACTTCTATTCCTTGTCTCTGCACTTGCCGTTGTCAAGTCCAACGCATTTGTTGGGTCATCCATCAGTTGCTGTAGCTCTTTCTCAAAACCAGAATCGATTGCATTGAGATATTGTATCAGCATCCAACTCCAGTCTCGAAAAGCTCTGATTTCATCTTCTGTGGTCTTATGTTCAAATAGTGGAGGACGACTAAGAAGCTTGGACCAATCAACAGTACTGGATCCTGTAGGGCTGCCACTCGGTGAGGATCCAGCAGCTTGTGAAGACACAGCAGCTTGAGCTGCTTGTGCGGCTTTGGATGCCGCCTTAGTGGCCTCAGCCACTTCCAGAAGTGCTGCCTGGAATATCTGTGGGTCCACTGCAGCCATCTCAACAACCTAAATCACCTGGGAACTTCTCCAAGACGTGCTCGTCAAGCAACACGCACTGACACTTATGCAACGTACCAAATTGTAAATCCCAAAATTGTAGCACAAACCGTTCTCACAAGCCAGAATGCAAGCAAATTGTATATATCACAAGTCAAAAGCTGTTCACAAGCCAGTCAGTTGAAAATGTAATGTCCAATGAGTGCTGCACCTGTCCAAACCAGTTATTGCCACGCTACAGAAATGAGAAAACAAGCCGCTGCAAACACTTTGAATCCCAGTGAAAAACCACCTATTGCAAATCCAAGTCCTCCAAAGGTCACTGCCAGTCCAAAGTCACCAGAAAGCGCTATGAGCTATGGCGGGCAGCAAAAGAGACCAAAAGCGACGGTCAAATGCCCACAGGTAGGAAGCCCTTAACGGGCTCCGCTACCATGTGAGCGGGAGCGCAACTTTTCTTGAACCGCAAGGGCCTCACAAGTTATGCATGAGTTTCCCATGCATTGCCATGAAACTTGTTACACTTCTCAACACTGATTTGTGCTGTCATCTTTGTGATGAGTGTATCCAAAAATACTACGCAGTTTGCCATCTTGCGCAGGGCTGATTCGTTCTCACAAACTTCATGAGGCAAAAACACCTCAAAAATAAAAACACCAGGTAAACTCAAAAAACCGAAAATGACGGTTTCACTGCTGACGAACACTTTTTTTTTCCTACACAGATGGAAACGTCGTGCCACCGCTTTCGGGGAAATACACACGGAACAAATATGCATGTTCCTTAACATATTTGGTGAAACATAATACTTATTTACGCTGTCGTAAATGTCACTTATATCCGCTCTCGGAAAAATATGCAGACGGGGTGGGGGGCTCAAAAACGAAAATCCACAAAAGAAGTGAAACCCACCCGCCCTCCCTTTGGAGGCAATACCTTGATTTGACAATGGCCACCATTGGCATAAACTTCACATGGAATGTTACACTTCTTATGTGCGTGTCATCGTGCCCTGGATTGTGCAACACCAAAAACCACAGTTGCATTCAACTGAGAAAACCTGATTGTTTTCCTCGGTGCCAAAACGCCTCGGACATACCTGGATTCACAATGTACATGAAAGATATGATACAACTGGATTTGAAACTGCAAATGCATGTAATTGCAACTGACTGCACAAACTGAAATGTACATGGTTGAAATTGGAGCAATGCACTACAGGCAAATGAAAGGGAGGTGACATGGAATGGATTGGTTTCCAGTAAATTCCGTTCACCCCGCCTCAATTTGTGTTTTTAGCACTAAATTGCAAATTTCTATATTGAATCCTGGAAGCGTTCAACAAACGCTACAAAGCTAAGGGCCAGGATTTTCCGGCAAAAGGCCTTTCACGCTCATTCATTCAGAACTCTTTGTAGTCCAAGCTCAGTGCAAACGTAGTGCAAAGGACCAGCAGCAGCATTAAATGTTGTAACGCAAATGAGCAGCTTCATCAATCTGGTCGGTGATGGACTCCATGGCCATCATGTCATTCACCAGCTCAGAATTTTCATATTCTCCTCGCAGACGTCGAATGCGAGCATTGAGAAGATCATTGGTTTCCCGCATCACTGACTCCATATGTGCATCGGAGTATGTTCGATGGGCTGAAGCATCTTCATCATCATCAGGTTTGCCATGGTGAATGTACCTCCAGAATTCATCATCAGAAACTTCTTCAAGACTGCTCTGCTGATACCTTGCATATCTATCACGTTCGCACTCTGGTTCATCTGACGACTCACCTTCATCAGGGTTGACGACAGGGTCTTCTGTCTTCTGTTCCTCTTCACCTCCTTCACAACTGTTCTTTCTACAAGCATTTTTCAAGATCTCCAAGACCTTTCTCAAGTTGAAGTCTACTCGAAGGCGGTGAAGGCGCTGTTGCAACTGAGATCCATGGTGAGCTGTGACCCATAGAAATCCCAGCAGCATGCAAACGAAGGTGCAAGCGCATGCTACCAGCAGCTTATAGAGCTCATGCCCCTCGAAGCCATTCGAAGCCATTCGAAGGAAGAGAAGAAGATCCCATCGTTTTAAAGTCCATAGCCACACCCAAGCTCAAGGCGCTCAGCAACACTACACGCATGAGTGATTTGGAAGTGGCACTACTCATTCCAACCTGTTTGAACATCTTGATACCAACCCTCATTGCATTCTGCTCTTCTATTTTGTCCGCTAGGCTAGAGCCAACCATCTGTGACTCAGCCATGTTGTAAACCTTGCAAAGAAACATAAGGTATTCCATTCTGTCTCAATCTCTTTGTTCCCAAGTCAGAAACGTTGTCTTTGGTTGACACTTTTCCTACTTGCATGAAACCTTCTTTGACTTTTGCTTGTACCCATAAAACCCGTAAACTGATGTGCCTGATTCGTCCAACACCAATCCTTCCAAAGAAGGATCGTCCAGCAGAGTTGTCCATCGCCAGACGCACCTCTATAGTTGTACCTTCACCCACTGCAAACTTGATGCAGTGAAACATCAAAACAGCATCACTGGTGGCAGAAGTAGCTGAATAGATCTCAGCCTCGGCAGAACTCATTGCTAATGCACGTTGAGACCTCGAAGTGCTGTAAAGAAGGCAACCAAACAAAAACAAATAACCAGAAGAAACTGACCGACGTGTTTGTTTGTGTTTCGCCCAATCTGAATCACTGTAGATCTCAAGAGTGTAGTCACATGGGTTGTAATGCAAAAGCCCTTGATGAGGTTCATACCGCAGCACCAAAGCATGGTCTATGCAACCAAGAAGGTATTGCGCCAGGTGTCGAAGGCACATCATCGACTGAGTGGTTGGTTTGGCCATTGACTGTGAAAGACCCCTGATTGTATACTGACATTCAACATAGTCGCCTGATATATAAAGAAGCACACCAATGCATGATCTATATACTGAAGCATCGGCAAGGGAAAGTGCAGCGCTGTCATCAGGTTCATCCAGCATGGGATGTCCTGGGGTGCGCTTTGGCTTCAACTTGCGGTTGATGCACAAAAGGCCAAACAAACGCTCGAGATGCTTGGGATGAGACTGTATGGCCATCTCATCCTCAGAGACCATCACATGGTGTCGTTTCAGGAATGTCAGCTCGTCTCCAACCTTAGAGATCGTTTCACATGCTACTTTGCACTTTGCCTTGAGGGCCGGCATCAAAGTCTCATCCAAGTAATTCTTTCTGGTCAAGCACAGGACATCATCCACATGTAAAAGCAAAAGGCACTCATCGCCTTTGGCCCTGAGCAAACTTGGATTCGCTGGAAATTCACAGATTTGAAAATCATCTCTCAGGAAAGCACTGAAAGACTCATGCCACAACTGCGATCCATCTCTTTGACCTGGAAGCACTTTGCCCAAAACAAAGTTCATGGTGTCTCCTGCAGCTAGTTCACACGTGACAACAGTGAGCTCGCGTTGAGGTACCATAAGAAAAGCATCAGCTATATCGATGGCACTCAAAACATATCCATCAGATTTCCATCTCATAAACAAAGTTGGAAGGAGCCTCACCGTCAGCACTGAGCTCGCAGGACTGAACAAATCCTGTCTGTCTGGCGTAAGCCATGCAAACTCCCGGGCCACATACCTTGAGCGGCGCAACCAAACATGCACACCATCTATGAACTTGTCACGCCATGCACGCACCATACGTGTTGTCAAACGTTTGGGAACCTTGCCATTGAAGTCATAGTTCTCTGCAGGGATCAAAACTCCCATGCTCCTCAGTCTCTTGATCTCTAACTCATCTGCTATCATGTCAAATCTCAAAAGTTCAGCAGCTGGAAGATCAGCTTCAAGAGCCGCAAAAGGAATGGTGAGTTGTTTCAACATTTCATCACAAGAAGCTGCAGAGTTGTGAGTGGGAGAGTTTGAGTCCTCGTCACGCTCGTAGTCAAGGCTGAAATCATAAACCTCCAAACCATCAACTTCAGATTCCTCAAAATATGTGGTATGGAGATCATCTTCATGTTCATGTACTGCAAAAATACGTGGATGCTTGGTGGGCCTGTTCTCGCCGTCATCGTCAGCATCACGTCCATGGCCAACGCCAAGAGTTGTCGTTGGCATTGCAGCATCAGCATGCCCTGAAGAGGGATTTGTACTTGGAGGAAGAGAAACATCAGGAGGAGTCACTGGAGCAGGTTCAACAGTTGGAGTACTAGGTGCATCAAGTCCAACTTGATCAGGAAGAGACCCCGCCTCAGCCAATGGTCCCATAGTCTCATCTAACTCAGCACCTGAGAGAACTGGTGCACTGCTTGCGGGTGGTCCAACCATCCTCGGAGATCTAGGGGCAGCACTGGCACTTTCATCGGGTGTCGGTGGCACATTCATCACGGCCTCCGCATCCAAATCACGTGGCTTGGCTGGGGGCAATGACAAAATTGGAGGCGCAGCTATGCGCTTTGCCAAAGCCAACTGAGATCCCAGTGAGGCATATCCAAATTGCCAAGGACAAGCCTCCATGTCTGCGATCATCTGCATATCCCAAGCATTGGGAAGTCTTCGAACGCTCCTGGTGACAAACAGTTGAGGGTGACCTGGAACAGCTAAGATGTGAACATCATTGTTCATAGTTTTCCCCAACCAGATTCCTCTAGTCCATGTCGGTGATCCCTTTGTTGAAAGCTTCAAAAACCCTAATGCTCTCTCTCCAAACATTGCAAGGCGGCCTGTGTACTGTCTGCTGGTGCAAAGCTCGTAAGCTGTCTTCCCATGCCTCACGACAAAACGGTTGTGAAGCCATGCACTATGCAGCAAGGCCCATTGATATAAGGGATGATGGCATCCAATGACATCACCAATGCCACAGCCTTTCTCGATTTGTTGCACAAGTAGGTTGGCGTGACGCCGCAAAACCTTCACAGTCACTTCAGCAGCACCATTACTGGCATGAGAGCCTGGGGCCACCGTTTCCTCCATAACTCGAATACCAAGACCTCTGCAAGTCTTCTTCACAGCCTCCAAAAGGGAGAGCGTTGCTGGTCCTTGATCACATCTCAATCCAACTGTGGTATACCCAAGCCAAACTCAAAACCTACAAAACTCTGTGCACAAATATTGCAGGTGTCGACCACCTTTCTGAGGAGTTGGCACAACATGCATAGCACCGGTTTGCTGGTCGTGGATAAAAAGTCCACAAGCCTTGTGCTCATCTTCAGTCCTAGATGCAAACCCAAAATCAAAACTGACTGTGCTGTGCGCGCTTGAGCTTTCATCACGTCGAACTGGATGTGGATCCTGTTGAGAACGGTTTGAGATGCAAAGTTCACACCACGGTGCATATGGCTGGTGTGTGTGAGGTTGTGTTCCGCAATTTCCTTCTCTGTTGGTGCATCAGGAACAAACTGGGCATTTGCAGGCCTAGAAAACTCTCCACGAAGTTGCTGCTGCGCTCCATGCGCAGCAATCAGCTCTTGCGCCTGCAGATGGCTCCAAAGACGGCTAAGGCACTCCTTCTTACTACCACTTGAAGGAAGACCAAGAGTTTCACAAGCAGCTCTCAAAGTCCTCAGTGTTGAAGTTGTGTCCAACTTCACTCCATCTACGACGATCACTTCATAGTCTTCAATCTCAGGGCCTTGCTCTGCAACTGGCATCTCAGCATCACCAACAGCAGCTGGAATTTCTTCAGGCTGCTCAGGTTCAGGCCTTTCAGCATGAGGCTGAACACGAAGAGGAATGCCAGATCGTGGAGCAATCACCACGTCATCATCATGCAGACTGAATCCAAGAGATTCTGGGGGGCCCATTGTGGTATGTGCTATTGTGATTACTTCTACAACATTCTTGCTGGCCTCAAAAGGAGCTGTCATTGTTCTCAAGTCTGAGATGCTAGCACAAAACTCATCCACCTCCCAAGTGCCGTTGGGAAGTTGTATCAACGTGGTGCGCAGCCAAAGTAAACCACCACTTGGGCACAGTGCTGTGTCAACATGTTGATTCCCTTGATTTCTGATTGCATACATGGTGTCACTCAGTTTCACCCAACCTGAACCCAGTCCTGTGAGAGCGCGGCCTAAACTCAAAGCTCGAACATGTTCAACTTGTCCGCACTCACCTGCAGTTGAAGAAGAAGCTGGATCATCAGGAGAACTGAGCATTCGAATGACTCCAGTTGCACAAAGTGAATTGCGTTTGAAGTGAACAGGGATGGACTTGGAGTTGCGCACAAGGGCCATAGACCCGTTCTGGTACTTCTGCAAAAGCCATCCATCTTTCAGCAATCTGCCCATAGAAATCAAAGGAGAAGTGACAGCAGCAAAAATAAAACGCTCACGAAAAACCACTTGACCAAACTGCACTTCAGCTATTCTAGCACCCTTGACGTTGATTGGTTTACCTTGCGCGTCAATGAACTTTGAACCACCAAAAGTTCTGTCAGGATGTCCTACTGCTCCAAACTCCAGAGGGAGAACTGATCCATCAGCTCCAGAGTCCAAAACCACCTCCACATCGCAGGGATCTGAAAGTCCAACAGTTCTGATGCTGTGCGCGTCACTGAAATCTGAAATAAACGTGTCATTGGGCTCATGCAAAGAAAAACATTCGACAGCATCACAACATGTCCACAAACCATCATCATCACTGCATGTCATGTCGAAATGCTCACAAACCGCAGCATATTGACCGTTGTTAGTCACGCAAGTGCCCAAGTCAGATTCTACAGGAATATCGGCTGAGGAAAGTGAGACCATGTTGCAACACCCAGAAGAGTCATACATAGTTAAATCACGCACTTCAACATCGTTGTCCAAGTCTTCGTCCAAGTCCTCTATGATAGGTCCAGAAGTGTCATGATAACCAGTAAACAAACGCACTGAGCTAGCACCACCAACTGAGCTTGCAGGGGCAGATGAAGAACTGCTTGAGCCACTCGAAACGCTGGTAGTTGCAGACTGATTGGAAGACTCCACTTGGTTCACATTCTTGGTGTCTGGGCGGCCATTGAGCTTCCAGCAGTCACGTTTGAAGTGGCCATACTTGCCGCAATGCAAACACTGATCACTTGATATTGCAGCACGGCCAGAACTCTTGTTGCTTTTGCCTTTGCCTTTATCATTCTTGGATTTCCCTTTACCCTTTCGGCCATCTTTACCCTTTGACTTTCCTTTGGACTTCCCTTTATTCTTACCTTTCTCAAACCTGTCTATTTCCATTGGTGCAAGACCCATGTTATTTGAAGGTTGAGCTGCATTTGAACTGGGATTGGACAAAATGCCCAACTCTGAATGAATTTTGCCAGGGCTCCATGTCATCGTCGTGCGTTCATAGCCAATGACCATAGCTCGAACCTGGCTGTACGTGGAAGACTCTGTTAACTGGAGCTGCACGTGTTGTTGTATTGCCTTTGGCAAACACTTCACAGGCATTGACAACATCAAATCGTCAGGAAGATCGGTTCCACTGGAGCGCATGTATTCTGTACGAAGGCGCTCAAGTCCCAACACTTGGTCCAGAAGAGTCTTGTCTTTCATCGTGAAACTAGGCACATTCATCAGGGCAGCAAGCAATCAAATTGCTCTGCTCTTGGTTTTCGGCAAGTACATCTGGGAGAGTTGCCTCCATGCTTCATATCCATTTCGTCCATCAACTTGGCGTAGCACTCTAAGCGGCTTTCCTCTCAGCAATCCTGTGAGGATACTGTAGAGCTGTGAACATCGATCCTTGACGTCCTGCGTCTCTCCATCAACATTGGCAATGGGAGTGTCAGCATGTGTAACTTCAACTCTGCAGGTCCAGCTCGAACTTTGGATTCCCATAGTAAAACCAAGCCTTGAAGTTGACATTGAAGTCCTGCCATTTCGACAGGTCATCCTCATGGTTCTCACTCCCAAACGGTTCAGGCTGTCTAACAACCTTACTGGCCTCCTGGAAGCCACCGCCACTAGCTCTGGACGCTTGAGCTTCACGCAAAGCAGTCACTGCATCACTGGCGGCTTTAGCCGCATCTGTAGCCGCTTGCACAAGTGCTGAAACATCATCAGCTGACAGTGAAGCCATGGACCTAACGGCAACGTCACCTAGACTCACCTCCTACACCTAGAGCCCTCACCAGCAACCCTGAAGCTACTGGATCATTGGGCTCCGCTACCATGATTGTTTTCCTCGGTGCCAAAACGCCTCGGACATACCTGGATTCACACTGTACATGAAAGATATGATACAACTGGATTTGAAACTGCAAATGCATGTAATTGCAACTGACTGCACAAACTGAAATGTACATGGTTGAAATTGGCAGCAATGCACTACAGGCAAATGAAAGGGAGGTGACATGGAATGGATTGGTTTCCAGTAAATTCCGTTCAAAACCTGACAAAAATAGTAAAAAAGGTTTGTGGAAGTTAGCTGTTTAACAGTTCGCCGAGGTTGTCTGAGCACAAGGTTCTGAGACCAAGACCACGCCAAAAACTAAATAAGGCGGTCAAGTAAAACCACAGTGAACCCACACCACAAACCCAAATGCACAAAACGCAGGAGACGGGAGACGCAAACGTAAGAGAAGGAAGAGGGATGACTAGAAGCTGCTCTCAGTTTATTTTTTATTGACAGGGAAATAAAGTTCCATCAGCACGCTGAGTCGCAACTTATTTCCCTAACATAAAAACCGTCAACCTCTTCATACGCAGACGTCTGAACTTCTCATCCGTACAAACCTGATATACTTCTTGATCTGTGCTTGCCATCTTGCGCAAGGGCTGATTCGTTCTCACAAACTTCATGAGGCAAAAACACCTCAAAAATAAAAACACCACGTAAACTCAAAAAAACGAAAATGACGGTTTCACTGCTGACGAGCACACTTTGTTTTCCGTCGAGCCACCGCTTTCGCCACGGTCCCCACCCATGCTCAAGGTGGCAGAATGGCCGTTTTTACAAGGGCCAAGCTTTCTTTGAAACATCTTTGGCTTCCTCTTCAAGAATCTGGGTGTCTTTCACCAAAAGGGGGTGCTCAAGCTGTCGAGAGGGGTAGTCAGCTATGTTGGACAATGATGGCACACGAAGAAAAACCAAGACAGCACAAAATGCGCATCCAGTGTTGTCGCCGCCAAGGCGCAAACTGCCGTTATGGCTCCGGAGGTGGAGTAACCCTTGATCAACGAATATTTCGATCCCTCATTGTCGATGTAAACCATAAGTTGTACTGACTCCGAAAGGTTTTCCCAAACCAAAAGCGACATTGCGACTGCCAGAGTTTGAAGCTCACCTGTGATCGTCTCTTGGCCCGCATCAAGAAGGGGAGCTAACTGCTCCAGCATCAGCTGCAATCCAAACCAAGCCAAAACTTTTCCCGCGCCATCAACGAGTATGGCCCCCAGGCCTGATTGCTTATCGGAGTCAAAGCTGGCATCTGTAAAGAGGTACAACGTTTCCAATATGTCACAAGTCAAACGACGGGGCTTCCCATCTGCGATCCTGCATCTCAGCAGCTTCATTGACTCCAAAGAGGATGATGCCTGTGCATCTTTGAAGGAGGACGCATGTCCTGAAGAGCGATCTTTCCAAGTCTCCGAAAATAAAGGCGTCACAAAACGCAAGCGCCCTCTGGGTACCAGAGCTTCACGCTTTAGCAACGTGCCCCTGGCCATAAAATCATCCAAAAGACCAATGGTCTCACGTATTCTCTTTTCTGTATTGCAAACTTTCAAAATTCCATTGCCTGCCTCGCCCAATTGAACCCCAAGTGCGCAAACCATAGCAGAGAAATCGTCACTTTTGGGGCCTTCTCTGTCGAGTCATCTGAAATGGCCTGGTGGCAATAAAACTGTCTGAGTACTGAAAAAGACACGCAAGACCTTGTGGAGTTCTCTACGAGCGTTTTTATTGCAACAAGCATTTCGGCTCCATCGTTTTGATGATTGCTGACTTGCCGGCTCGTCTTATTAAGATTGCGAAGGCTTTGTTCCACAAATGCGCCGACCCCTCCTAATAAAGCAAATTTGGTCATTGGCGGGAGAGGTGGTTAACTGTAGGGTTGTAGCTCAGGTTGCACACGATGTCAATGTCACCAATGTGATGAATGCTGTGTCCACATGACATACAGCGCAGCTTTCCTGTCTTTTTTTGTTGCCCGAGCCCGTTGCCTTTCGGCGGGTCTACGGTACTTGAGACTTACTCGTCTACCAAGACACGATCGCGCAGCTGGCTGTACATGCACGGTCCACAACGCAGCTTTCCTCTCGGTCGGTGCACCAATTTTCATACATTTTGCTGATGGAAGATTTTTTTTTCCGTCCAACGCCTTCATGGCTTCCGCCAGGTCGTTCACCATGTTTTGGTGCATGTTGCAAATTGGAATTAATTGATTAATTAAGTCGTGCGTAGGCCGCCTGCGGTGGAATGGCCTCAAAAGTAAACTGGTGGAGGACCGTTACATAGTCCTGTGTACTGTCACATTCATCACCAGGTCGCAAAGCGAAACAAAGCAACCAAAACACCAAAAACCACCAGACAAAAAAACAAAACAGAAACACAAACACACACAAAACCAAAACCAAACAAACCAAAAACAACAACCACAACAGAGCAGTGATGTGACAGGTACCAGTTTATGGGTGACAAGGATAATGTCAGGCAAGAGGTGATAGCTTAGTATCATCTCAGTTCATGCATGATGACAGCTTGTGTGCCATGGTAATAATGGCCCCAACCAGAAAACAAAAACAAAGAGACACGAAAAGAGAACCAGGGGCCAAAGCAGAGGGTGTAAGAAGCAACAAAGCTCAATGCAGAAACCAGGGATCCCCCCAGCCAGGATCCCCGAGATCACAAAGAGCAGCCATCCAGGCATGACATTCACCCTGACACTTTGAAGCAAACACCGACAACGCCGGGTCGCAACAAAAGTGGTGAGAAGAACTAGCGCAGTGAGACAGGAGAGTGAAACATGGTCTAGTGTGAAAATGACAGCAAAACTACGGCACTCAGGGCGCGCTCAGAGTCCGCTCAGTAGTTCTTTTTCTAGCATCAGCATCAGAGAGTTGCGGTTGCGGTAAGCGCCACTGTGCTAGTGCTCGTGCAAGTAGTCTTCATGGTATGGGAGATTGTGCTCGTCATCAGTGCGTGGTGATATCTGTGCATTGAGCTCTTCCGATGACGTGCTAGCTCCTTTAGCTGTATGATCCAGCAACCGTAGCTGGCAGAGATTGTACAACTATCTAATATACAGCCAATTTGGCGGAGTTGGCGTATGGCAGCTTCCAGGTCAGTAACCCTCTGGGATGGGATATTTTGGATGCCTTGAAGCTTCTGAGATGCCTTGGTCAGCAGTTAAGTGGCAGCTTCTACTTCACGTAGTGACCTGGCACAGGGTCAGTTGAGTAATTGACTTTGCGAGGCGATGGACAGCAGCATCTTTGATAGGAGTCGGTCGATCCATACTGCAAGGTTAAACTGTACGCAGGGTATTCTGCAGGCGTAGGGCCGCTGGGCGTTCAGTTCATCAATCGCAGTGTTGCAACCTTGTCGAGGAAAGACATGGGGACGTCTGGTGGAAGTCATTTGGCCGGTCGGTATGTTGGTTGAACGAAGGTCAAACGGCAACGGGCACCATGGCTTGATCTACTTTGACATCGTCTTACGCCATAAAACAACCTACAGTAAATAAAGGCCCCTTAAAAAGGCTATTGTAATCACCTCCCACCTCCTCCCTTCCCCTATTGACACAGGCAAGCTTTTCCATCTTCGGAGGAAGAGCGAGCCACCACTGACAGTGAATCTGAGGCAGACGAGGAAGCCGATGAAGCGGAGACGCCTCCGGAAGAACCATGGTGCCCACCAATCCCACCGGCAATGGATGACCCTACGGAAATGGAAATCAAAGGTGCTGCGGACAAGCTGGCCACCATGATGCATTGTTCACAGCCTCAAGCCAACGTGTTCTTTCAGCCCGACAATCTAGGTGCTCTTCCACACCTGTGGCTGCAGGCCAAGCTTACCATCTCCCTGACGTCTATGCAGGAAAAGTTTGCCCGCCTTTTCATGTCAATTGCGTCAGAGCTGTGGCTGCGGGATGCGATCGATACCGTTGAGGAAGTATTTGCCCATGCTGCCCGTAGCTTCACGCTCCGGCTGGCTGAGACACTTTCGCAGTACATATGCTCGCTCACTCGACGAGCTGAGGCTCTGGCTACTCCAGGGACGGAATGTCTGCTGTATGCCACATATTGGTTTCGGCCAATTCTCTCTGAGCTAATTGGGGCAGCCAAAGAGAGTGCAGAAGTGAACCGAAAACGTGCCCCCAGTGGCCCTGTGAAAGTTGTTGTCACCAACCAGCCCCACTCTCGGCGTCACACCGGGGTCGACCTGGTTAGTGGGAGTTCGGCCTTACTGGCGTGGTTTCCGGCTAGCTGGGCTAGCAAGATTGCGCCGTGTTTCTTAGGGGAAGAAGGCGGTGCCATCCAAGCCCCACAAGAAGTTTCCTTCTCTTGTCCCCATCGAGTTTTTGAGGGGCTGCAGAGAGGAGCGGTTGATCAAGTCCTGCAGGCAGTCAAATTCACTGACAAAAACGCTCCAGGATTGAGTCTGGCCTTGGATGAGGAATTCCAAGCAGGTGACTGCTTTTCGGAACTCATCCGAGGGTACACAATGGGGGTAGTAGAACCCTACATCATGATGGGCCTACAACCCACTGGACCCACTAGAGTCAACCTGGAAGTGATTGTACCATCCCCTCAAGGACTTACCCCTGCAATGTGGAAGGAGACAGCCACTCTGTGCCCGCTTGAGTGGCCGTCCAACTACAGGCTTTTGAGGTTGTGGCATACGCCCAAGAGTTTTCACCAGATGCCGCACAACTCAAACAGCAAGTACAACATCAACATATGTTCACTCACTGGGAAGTCAACCGCGTGAAGTTAGCAAGCAGGGTGCTGTTCCAACGACCAGCCCACTACTTGCCAGAAACAATTCTGCAACAGCACGTGCGAGAGCGTATCTTCCCTGACGGGAAACTGCGTAGAAGAGCACCAGATATCGACGTGGTTGCTTTTCAGAACAAA